AATTAATTTATATACATCCTACTCCAACCCGATTTTACATCCCTAATTTTTCATTCTGTGGTTGTACACCTCTCTCTCTCTTCCTTCTCTCTATTAGTGTTGGCGGCATTAAGGGGACGACGTCGCCGTGGTTGTGGTGCTTGGTTGGTGTTGGTGGCGACGACAGAGTAATTACAGGCGATTCGGCTTCTCTTTCTTTTGATATTCCTTTGTTGTAGATGGTTGGATTTGGTGATAGCGACGGTGACGAAGTGGTTTTGTTAGATCTAGTGGTGGTGATGGTGGTCATTTCTGTTGGTGGCTGTAGTGGTGCTACTGCGTGCAGCCACTATACTGTGCCGCAGCTGCCACGTCGCACGAGTTGTTGAGATTTGTCGTGTGCCATTGTCAGGACCTACAACTTCGAGATCTGATGTGAATTTTTGGGTGTGTTTTCAGCTGGTGGATGGGGGCTGTGGTGGTGGCGGCGGTGTTTGGGGTGACGGTGACTTTGTTGGATCCAACAGTGGCGAAGGTTATGTCAAATGTGATGGAGGCTGTGGTTTTTTTTTTGTGGCGGTGGATCGGTGCAACGACATGGTGGTGTTTTCTGTAATGTGTTGATTTGTTGATGGGCGGTATTGGTGTTGCTGTCGCAAGGTAGCGATGGTGATAGTGGTGGTTCTGGAAGGGAGTGGTGTTGGTTGTGGTCATGAATTATTTGATTGATTGTGACTATTATATTGGTTAATATGTAACCAACAAACACCAATAAATAATATGTGATCAATGAAAAAGATAAATTGTGACCTAAAAATAATGTGTAACCTAAAAAATGTTAATTTTTTTATCTATAATTTGACAGTTGTGACTGTCTACTAAGTTGTGATTTATAATATTTTTGATTTGTGCTAGATATATAAATTGTAACGTAAAAATTTTTTATTTGTGACCAATGAATAAATTGTGACCTATAAATTATTTGAATCGTGACTATAAAATAATTTGTGACATATAAAATTTGTGATTTGTGTTCAATAAATAATATGTGACTTATTAATTGGATAGATTTGTGACCGATGAATAAATTATGAAATATAAATTTTTGATGTGTGATCGATGAACAAATTGTGACCTATAAAATTTTTAAATTGTGATCGTAAAATAATTTGTGACTTATAAAAATTGTGATTTATAATCAATTAATTATATGTTGCCAATTATATGAAATTTGTGAACAAATTATATGAAATTCTGACTTAAATATATTTAATTAATAAAATATATGTTTAATTAATTAATTTATAAATAAAATTTGGAAAGGTCTAATATTTGAAATTTTAAACTTTGATCTCTTAAATTTGCAATTGGTAAAACTTAACCTCATAGTTATGTAATCTTCCCTTATTATTATGCCTCACATTTTTTTGGGTGGAAATTACACAATTTATGTATCAACATTTCTAAAATCAAATTGGAAGTTTCAAATTTCCAAAATCAGATATTTTATTTTAATTAATATTTTTATAAAATTAATATCCCCAACCTAAACTAAATTCATCTACCACACATCCCTAACCTAATTCTCTCCCACGCCCCCAAATCTCTCGCCTCTGTCACAGACCTCACACAACCACCACCGGCGAAGGCGATCCACACACAGACCACCGGAGGCGAGCGCTACTCATGACGGCGCCGACATGCCCGCACACAACTAGCAGCATTTGGTTTAGGTGATGGCGAGGTGTCGGCAACCCGCAATGGTGCCTCGCTCCGCATCCTGCCCGCAGCGGCGCTCATTGCCTATTCAACCTCGCCGCACGTCGTTGTCGAGATCCGCTGCGTGCCGTGGCCGAGATCTGCAGCTCCGCGATCTGATGTGGGTTTTTGGGTAGTGGTGGTGTTTGGGTGGCTGTGACTTTGTTGTCGGGAGGTGGTGGTGGTGATGAAGTTGGCTGCGATGCTTACGATATTAGTTTTGCTATCAGGAGGTGGTTCTGGCGACGGTGGATGGTTGCTATTGTGGTTGTGCGGCTGCGGCTTCGGCTGTGGATGTGATTGTAGGTTTGAGAAATTTTTTTGTTGGCCGTGGTGGAGGTGGGCGATCTATGGGTACGTGTGCTGATCTGTGTTGTTTTGGCGGTGGTGGCAGTGGAGTTGGAGGTGTGACTGGTGGCAGTGGAGGTGTGTGGTGTCGGGATTGGTCACGGGACCCTAAAATCTAACTGTGACTTTAAATTTTAACTGGTGGCCGTGATGAGGTGGTGGTCACGGGTTTGGTCACAGAAGTTGGTGGTGGTCACAAAAAAAATCTAACCGTGACTTTAAAATTGTGACTAAAAATTAATATGTGACCAATAATTTGAAAATATGTGACTGATAGATAACTGTGACCTGTAATTTTTTGATCTGTGAACAAAATAATATGTGACCTGATTTGTGACCTCGAAATAAACCATAACCTACAAATTTTTTGATCTGTGACCAATAAAAAAATCGTNTGACCAATTATATGAAATTTGTGAACAAATTATATGAAATTGTGACTTAAATATATTTAATTAATAAAATATACGTTTAATTAATTAATTTATAAATAAAATTTGGAAAGGTCTAATATTTGAAATTTGAAATTTTGATCTCTTAAATTTAAAATTGGTGAAGCGTAACCTCATAGTTATGTAATCTTCCCTTATTATTATGCCTCACATTTTTTTGGCAGCTCACAATCCCAAGTCTCAAGCCCAGCACAACTTGATTTTGCAGATTATGCCTCACATTTTTTTGGCAGCTCACAATCCCAAGTCTCAAGCCCAGCACAACTTGATTTTGCAGGCGGGCCGATCCAGGCACCTATGGTAGGCCAGGTAAGGCCAGCCACTTCTAGTACGGACAAGCCCGGCTCTGTTTTAGACCAATAGATAGGATGGTCAACTCGAGTTGGTGATTTTGAAGAGTCAAGATAATTGAACTCTATAGTCAACCAACTTGTCCAACTCAATGTGTTAACAAATTAGACGTGTTCGAAAATGATGATACTAAAAGATGGTACCGGATGGAATGTTTGGAACGCATTACTGCACAAGATTAAACAATACAATAAATAAAATTTTATAATATAGTCTAAATTACCTTAGCAAGCATGTGTGACTTTGCATGCCTTTTACGTGCTATGTGACTTTGCAAGAAGTGCAGTCATGATCATTGTGTGAGCTCAAATGATGGCACTATGAGATGGATTCGCACTCCAAAATGAAAATTATCAGCCCAATAACAACTTCAAATTTCCATGCACAGAACAAAGAGGGTACATGAGGAAATTACAAGAAAAGGAAAAATAAGCCGAAGAACGAAATTCATGTACTAATCATCCTAGTGCTGAGATGCAGCCAACAACATTTCGATTTTCCATGCAGTGTGAAACCAAGAGGGTACAGAGAGAGAATAAGGAAAGGACAAAAATGCCATTTTCACCGTGTATTATCTCTACGGCGAGACTCCCTTGGCATTTGCAAAGACACGAGCAACGGTATTATAAGCTTCGTCTATTTCTTCTTCTGTCATTTCTACTGTTTCATCACTATCATAAGCTGTATCATCCCTGGCCAGAGTCTTCTTCCTATTGCCAATTTCACTTCCCTTAGTTTTTGATGCTTTCTTCTTTATAGTTATATCATCGTCCATTTTGCTATATTCCAGCCCGTAAATTTGTTTACAAGAGATTGCCCGTTTCTTCAAATCTTCCTTATGACGTGAATCCTGATCACTACCATTGCCATCAAACTTGGCTAGTTCTTCAACCACCCGAGGAATGCATGCCCATTGCTCGGCTAAATGCTGGATATCCTATGGACGGAAAAAATCATGCACGAAATCAAAGAGTCACACTTCAGCAACTAAACTGAATCAAAACAGATTAGCAAAATACAAAAATTATTAATTAATTCATAAATATGCAACACAATTATTTAGGCACCCTTTTGGTTCAGCTAAAAAAGTTTATTAAAATCTAAGTCAAAGTCAACAATTAATTTTAACCACACATTTTATGGGATTCACAACTTTCAACCACACATTCCAACTTTTATGAAAATCTAGTAAAATCTAATTTTTATCAAAACCAAACAAGGGCTAGAGTTGGTATGATATCCACCAAAGAGTAAAACAGCTAGCTTCTGATACGTGGAGCACAAGTAGATGATCCGTTAAAAGGATTTTGCTCTAAAAGCATATAAGCATGTAATGGAACTTGCAGTCCAAATTGCTGAATGAAACTTGCACTTTTCCAATCTTGTAGAAACTTGAATAGTATTTGACTAGCCCTCTTTGCCCCAGATAAAGAACATTAGAAAATAATCATTTACTAGAGACAGCATCAATATATTTCTGGACTTGACTCCATATCAATAATATTTAAGACTCAAACGAACAGAAGACCACAAAATTGAACCGTGTTGTAATAGACGGGTATGAATATTTTACTTGTAAGCCATATACACTCCCATGCCCTGATGGGAATCTGGAAAAATTATCTTTGGAAGTACATTTAACAATAATAAATAGAAACGAATCTCCAGTATCAATAACAATAAGCGCCAAAAAATCTACCTGTCCTTGCTCGAGAGACTCTATAGCATCCTGTAAACATGTTAGGATCCCTTCACTAGCTATTTTCTTTATTTCACTCAGCTCTGGCTGTAAAACAAAACAAAAAATATAATAAATTGAGGCATTGAAGAAACTAATACTTACATTCAGTAAAGGAGAAAATAGAATCCAAATTAGGTGAACTCCTTAAGAAACAGAAGCTACAAAATCAACGTCAGGCATATATGTCCATAGATAAAGATAGTACATAAATCAGTTGTGATTTATGGGAAATTGCAGGCTACCTTTTCTTCTTGATTTTCCAGCCATGTTATTGTTTTTGTTAAATCCTCAATAGCCCATTTCTTCACTTTCAAAGGAGGAAAACAATCTGTGATCTGCTTAGAAGTGAAAACCAGTTCATAAGTGACTGAATTTACATGAAACTGCTTAATTTAAGCCATTGATTAAAGTAGTCTCATAATCTGATCTATAGAGCTGTCTTAGAGATGCCAAAATGTTGACACAGTTCAACCTCGTATTTTCAGTTCAATCATCACGGGCATTGTAAACCAGAAAATGGTACCTTGGATGAAGCAGAAGTTATTGGCTTTGAATGTAGTTTCTTCCCTTCTGGTATCGTAGATTTTCTAGATGCAGATTGTCTAGTATCTGCAAGGATTAATTGAGTTATGGTTCAGATAGGCTCCAGGAAGCAATGTGCTAGATCATCTCAATAATGAAGAGTATGTTCGGGAAATGTTTGTGAATGATTTTAATTATAAATAAATAAAAATGAGTGGTGGATATGTGTGTAGTACTTGTGGATCTCTCGAAAGTGTGGATAAAAAATGACTTGAATGTTTATAAACATGAGCCAAACATAGACTAATTATTTTTAAGAGATAAACCATTTGGCCTTCAGCAGAAGTATCAAAATTGATGAGAAGCACAAAAATATAGATAATAGCATGTGAAACGGATAGAGACCTTGCCGAGCTTCATCGGGAACTCCCTGTCTCTTCCATGGTTTACCAGCATGCAGAAGATATGTTTCCATATCAACAAGTTTTCTCTCATTGTAACACAGTGATACCCAATCCTATGCCAAAAAAATGAAATTAGAAAAGAGCTGATTTCACACTTCTGCACCAGGATGGATTGAGGATGCAGGAATGAAAAGAGAAATAAGCTGAGAGAGACTAATCGGAAACACCTCAATCGAGAAAGAGATGAATCAGAAACAGAATGGTAGTGATGCCACATTGGGTTTAAAAAAAACTAACGAAACATACTACTAAAGGCTCTCAGAAAATACCAATTATATTAATGGCAATGATTAAACAGTTTTGCACAATTCAAAATTCGTAGAATAATATGGTAAAATCAGATATTATGTCATCTTTACTAGCCAAAAAGACATTAGGCAATAGGCAACACTATAGGAACATCTAATTATTTAAAGAATAAAGTGTTCCAACTTCCAACAGGGAAGAATTTTCTGAAAGAGAGAGGAAAATGTGGGAGGTGATGCAAATTAAAATCATATAGAATCGTAACAGGGCCAAAATGAGACGCCAACAAAATTTCAAGTTAACATGATGGTTAACTACTACAAAATCCGCCCACACACATTCAAGCTCAAATAGATATTAAGTCCTTTCGAAAAAGATTTGCAAGAAAATCAAAACTAGCTCCAGGTAGCGAATTGAACTAGGATCACTGAATCAAGGTAAAGTGTAAAGTGAAATAGGGTACCTAAACTTACAAAAGACAGTCCAAACCCTCGAAAAAACAATGTTCACTGCTAGATAATCTTTGTTATAATGTCCAAACTTCTTAGGATAGAAAACATTGGCGTATATGTAGAGAAAAGCATTAAAACATTGCATTTATATTTTCACCATTTGACATGTCTTTGTATCTGTAGTTATGGTTTATGGTTTGATAATATGATCAAAGTTTCCGCATGTATAGGTTGCCCCCTCCAGCACAAGTAATAAAGGCTTAATCACAAAAGCAAAAGTACTGAAGTAACTAAAAGGAAAGGGATTATGACATCTTGATCCTATAACATCGAAGAGCAGAATAAAAAATGGGTTGCTGTAGATATACTAACAGATGCAGGGCGATGAATAGAGAACCATCACTCTCAACTATCCAGTAGATTAAAATAAACTGCAAGAGACGATGGGATACGACTGCAAATCATGTCCAGAAAAAAGCTGTAGTATCGTGACTTGGAGGAGAAAGACCATGGGCCCATATAAAGTGAAATTGGATCATATAAAGCTATTCTAGACAGAAGTGGAGCATCTCTAGGTAAATACGGAAGGATAATGCTATTTGTACATAATGTTGTACAAAATAGTGACATTGAAGAGAGAGAAAGAGAAATAACTGAATTTTTTTTCTTTCCTATCTCTCTCTCTCTTTCATGACATGTAGCACAACCAAATACAGAAAGCGTGTCAATCTGAAAATTTTTCACTGGTGTTTACAAGACACAATGAGAGCATTCCAAAACCAATTGTCCAAAAAATAGGAAAAACGAAGGCAAATTAGCAACAGATAGACGTATACATACAACAATTGACTTTCACTTTCTAATAGACTGTCAAGTGCGTCAAGATAATGGATATAAGTTGGCCAAAAATTTTCTCAAGGCATATAGTGTCCGAAACTAATACAACCATTTTTACCTATCGCGTGCAAAATTTTAGTCAAAGGGAAATGGAGAAGTGATAGTTGCATAAATATAGGGCATATATGTGAGCTTGTTCAGTCAACATAACCATGGAAAGGGCAAATCAAAGAAAAAGAAACCCTGAATTATTAAAAATTCTAAGATCATATAATTACAACTAATAAAATACAGAAATCTTCCTGGCAAGTAAAAAAGCAAAAAAAGATTAATATAACTAGTCGTACTTCAGTGCAGAAAGTGTTCAACCTTGGAAACTATGGTTCCACAATCAGCCTCAACTTGGCGGAACTTAGGCGTGTTGGGAAATGCACATATCAAGAGAGTGCATTTCGAGTTCCAATCAGGCTGATATTCTGCTCCCATTTCCAACATTTGTGATCGCAAAACACCTCGCTCGGGATTCACAAACCCCGACAGCACAAATACTACCCCTTCCTACACTCAATCACTATCACAAATTAATTTAAAAATGAAAACTTAAAAGAAAATGGGTCAATGCCTAAGGGAACTGAGATAATACCATCAGTTTCGAGAAATCTGTGGCACCCGAATAGGCAGCTGAAGAAGACGCTTCTTGAATTCCGGGTTGCGTGTGAAGGGCATTTTGATCCTTCTTTCCCTTGCTATGAGTTCTTGGTTGTTTAGTGTTTTCACCATCTTCGTTTTCCTCTCCTCTGGAACTCATCCATGAGGGTAAATTCCGTTTCTTCCCCGTCTTATTATCTTTATCGTCAGGACTTGTTTTCAACCCCAACATTATGATTCAATTGTTCATATAACTATAACGTACAAACTACAAAACACGAAAAGAGTGCACTAACAATTACCCTCTATATTTTGGAAACCCGAAAACTTGAATTAATTAAACATTCCTAATTAATTCTGCTGAACGTAATTGAGTATCAACGTCGATAGATTAATACCTGAATTCCAGATTACACCTTTGACAGCGGTTGAGGCATTAAAATTTTCGAAAGTCTCAATTAGCAGAAAAATAATGAGATTTCGCCAACAATCAGGGCTTATAACGTATAATGGAAAGCAATTTGGTTTCTGCAATGAGCAAATGCGATCTTAGGGTTAATGCAAAAACGTGGAATTAATTAAATTATGGAAATTATATATAATTCTTTTTACTCCCTCAGTTCTCACGTCTCAGTATTATTGTCGACTCTCCTTTCACGGCAAATTGGTTGCAGATCGAACCACTTGATATTCTACATTATAACGTGAGAAATAATAATTTTTTTAAAAATGTGCAATGGAAAAGAAGAATTTTTTTAAATTTGTATTTAATATTATTTTATTAAAAAATATATAACTGATAAAAAGAAATAGAAAAATAAATTATAATTTAATAGGGATTAATGAACATCAAATAGTGGCTTAGATTTTTTTTTATATTATTTAAAATATTTTGACATTGTATTCAAGATAAACTTTAGAAAATGCATTTGAGTTTAATATAATTTTTTATTCGTCTTGATGTTTGGCATAAGTTTCAACGATGTAATCTCGTAATTGTAACTAATTTGTCATGTAAAGTAGGTATCGAAATTGATCTTCTTGTAATAGAGTAAAAACAAAGAGGCATAACATAATTCATATGATCTTGATCTCTTCTACATTGTCCCTATTCGATTAAAATTAAAATTAACAATTAATTTTAATAAAAGCACTTTCGAAAGACTTAATTTTTAAAAGTATATTCTACAATTTAGATAATATATATGATAAGTGCATTTTGTACACTTACTTGAGTCATATTACTTGGATTTCATTATTAATTTGTACATAACTTAGGTTAATTTCTCTTTTGTTTTAGTTATGAACTCGTCCGAGGTAATTGGAAAAGAAAGAATGCTAAAATTGAATGAAATTTACAATTTTGGGATTAAAGCCTACACTATAGTGATTGAAGGACTAAATTGCATTAATTCTAAATATGGAATGACTTTGAGAAACACAAAGTTAATGAGCTAGACTTGCAATTGGACTAGGACTTCAATTAGCACTTGGAATCCTAATTAGACTACAACTAATTGACGGCTAAGAGTGATTATTTATGGGAACAATGCATATCTCAGCCTTTTACTTTTCAACATTTCAAAAATACAAAAACAAGTTTCAACTTTCAAAAATCAGATTTTTTAAATTTTAATTTATCAATTTATTATTACATATTTAATTCTAATATAACATCATTATCACACCCCACCTCCACCACTCCCACCGTTTTGGGAACTATTCCAACTACTGTTCCGATCACAACTCTTCTCCGACGACTGTTACGACGATCGTTCCGACGACGCTCCGATTTCAGCCACTATTCTGATGACCGTTCCGCTGCCACTTTATTCTTGCGACTGCTCCGATTCGGACAAGTGTTCCAACTCTGGTGAAAATATGAAAGTCACCGATCCATGCAATTTGGTCACAATTTAAAAATTTTAAGTCACAATTCAAAATTTTCATAGGTCACAATTTGTTCATATTGTTCATCGGTCACGAAATACAAAATTTATAAGTCACATTGCTTATTTTATGGTCACGAACATCACATTAATTAAACATAAGCTATATTTAGGTCACAAATTAATAATTTTTAGGTTACTAAACATGTATTGGTCACAATGTATCTAATGCATTGGTCACAAATCAAACAAATTATTGGTCACAAACAACCTAATCATTTGTGACCACAACCCAACAAATCATTTGTGACCACCACTTCGCCGCTCCCTCCACCAGCAATACCACCGTCTCCTCCCGATAGCAACATCAACATCTCAAACAAATCAAACCCCACACCCTCCCACCACCACTATCACCACCCCCAAAAACAACATCCACCACAAAGAACCACCACTACTTTACCATCACCGCGACGGCAGCGACGACAATGCCACCAACATCAATACAGCTGTTTCTGAGCTCCAACTCACCGCCCAAAAACCCCAACAACACCAAAACACAGAACCACGGCCGCCACTACCACTCAGTTCCGACGACGCTCCGATTTCAGCTACTATTCTAATGACCGTTCCACTGCCACTTTATTCTTGCGACTACTCCGATTCCGACAAGTGTTCCAACTCTGGCGAATATATTAAGGTCGCCGATCTATGCAATTTGGTCACAATTCAAAAATTTTAAGTCACAATGCAAAATTTTCATAGGTCACAATTTGTTCATCGATCATAAATTACAAAATTTATAAGTCACATTACTTATTTTATGGTCACAAATATCACATTAATTGAACATAAACTATATTTAGGTCACAAATTAATAATTTTTAGGTTACTAAGCATGTATTGGTCACAGTTTATCTAATGCATTGGTCACGTATTATTTATTGGTCACAAATCAAACAAATTATTGGTCACAAACAACCTAATCATTTGTGACCACAACCAAACAAATCATTTGTGACCACCACTTCGCCGCTACCTCCACCAGCAACACCACCATCGTCTCCTCCCGATAGCAACATCAACATCTCAAACAAATCAAACCCCACACCCTCCCACCACCACTATCACCACTCCCAAAAACCACATCCACCACAAAAAACCACCCACTACTTCACCATCACCGCGACGGCAGCGTCGACAATGCTACCAACATCAACACAGTTGTTTCCGAGCTCCAACTCACGTCCCAAAAACCCCAACAACACCAAAACACAGAACCACGGCCGCCACCACCACTCCAACAACAACAAAAACCACGATCTCAAAATACTAAACAACAACGAAGCCGCAGCCAAATCCGCGTAGCCAACCACAAAAATCACTAGCATTATCTAATTGACACTAGGAAATTGAATCTCACCGATCGGGTAGCATCATTGGAAGCGAGAATTGACTGCATGAGGGAGAAATTGGAGATGATGATGGAGAAATTGGATGTGCAAGAACGAAGCAGCGTCGAAGAGGGACCGAGACAATTGATTTTAGGGCTTCTCAGTCTATCTGGTTTGACAGTGTAAAGGTGAACGGTGGCGGACGAGGTTTGAGGCGCGCGAGACCACTGGATTTGCAATTCGATGCTACAGAACACTGAGACCACTGGATCTAAAACGAGACCACTCACCGCCAACCGCACCGAGACCATTGGATCTGCAACGCTATTGAACAACGGTGATGCTATAGAACAACCGCGAGCAGCGATGAGTGCTGCGGTTTGGGTAGAGAGGAGAAGAGGAAAATAGGTAAAGTGAGCAACGGTGAGAATAGAGAAGGTGGAGGCAACATCAATTATTTCTCCGGCGATGGGAAGAATCGTCGACTGTAATTGTGGCGGCGGCGGCGTTTGATCAGAGAGAGTGGAGAGGATATGGGTTTGATTTTATGGTTTGATAATTGATATTAGGGAGATATGGTAGGGATGAAATATAAATTAATTTATATTGTATATAGATATAAAAATAAAAACTAAAAAAAATTAAATTATTAATTAAAACCTGACTTTTGTATTATGAAACTTGATTTTTGATTTGTGAGAATGAAAATCTAAAATCAGGGTTGGGTGTAATTTTCTCATTATTTACACACGCGTAGACGGAAACGAAAAGCAAGTTTTTGGGGCTGAATTAAATACACTACAAGAACCGAAGCAGCAGACATAGAGAAGACACGTAGAGAAGAAATAAAGGAAAGAAGTGGCGGCAGGTGGAATTTTAGCCAAAATTACTTACGTTTCATTAATTTTCGGTAATGTCGTTCCACTTTTACTTGTTTAGTTCCAATATTATTTTATGCTAAATTATTTTGTGCTATGATTTATGATGAAACTTGTATTATGAATTTTTTACCCATGATTTTATTTTGACATTCAAAGCACGTTTTTAATTTTACTACTTCCAAAAATTATTTATTATTTTTTTCTATATTTTATTTTCACGAGCTTTCATCTAAATTATGAGCAGTGCTTCTTGTACAAAAGAATAAGCAATAGAAATTCACCATAATACACTCACATGTGGGACCATGCTTGTTTTTTTAATGCACGATGGGGCCCACTGTTTGCGTGCATTCTGCCCAATTTATATTGCTTCTTCTCTGTTCAAGGGGAATAAACGTTAAATTATTCCATTAAAAATTGAAATACATTGAATGTTTTTAATTATAGATTATAGATGGTGGGCTACTCTAAGTTAAATTGTTATTTTAAAAAGTCTTTTGGAGTACAATGAGTTTTGGCTATTTAGAATAGAAATTATTTTATATTTACCACATATTTGATACACATTCTTTCAAAATATATTATTTCATAAATCATTTTCAATTACATATTTTTTAATAAAATAATATTTTACACCACAATAATTTTTCTTTATTTTTTAATCACATACTTCTCATCGTATCACTATTTAAAATATATTTTTTTTTCAATAATATTCATCAAACACACCCTTAAAGAACCTCTTCGAAATGTATGCTATAATACAACCTTTTTTTATTATTTTGTTATACTTAGTTTTTAATTGTGGGTTTACTTTTCGCTTGAAGCACTAACAACGTAATTAAGTGCAAAATATATTGCTTTAATTAGAAAACATTATCAAATAAGTTCAAGATTGTCCAAACAGGTGAGGTGGCATTAAGGATAACAATGGATTGATTCAAAACTTTGTCAAATAAGCTCGAAATTATCCAAAATAAGGTGAGGTGTCATTAGGGATCACAATTGATCGACTCGATTCGACCATTAAACACTCAAGTGTTCAAATCCCAGGTTTGGATTTCCATTCCGACTCGTGAGCCTCATCGGCTAAATTGAGCTACCACAAATTGGCTTGCTTTACGAAATAAGCCAAAAAACAAGTAAAAAAATATTTTGAAAGAAATCAATAAATTAAAGGTGTGTTTAATGGATATTATTTTGAAAGAATGTATTTTGGAATAGTAGATTGATGGAGAATGTGTGGTTGAAAAATAAGAAAAAGTTATTGGTGTGATGGAAAATATTATTTTATTGAAAAATGTGTGGTTGAAAATGAGTAGAAGAATGAGAATGAAAATTATAATGTGTGTCAAACAGGGGCTAAGTAAAAAATGAACAGATCCACGAATCATAACGAGCTCGGCTAGTTAAAAAAGTGGGCTTGCCTCGACATATAACCGGTCTAAAACACGCTTGAGCCGTCTATAAATCGAGCCCTTTTGCCATCCCCACTTGGCATACCTCATCATTATTTATTTATTAAAAACATAATCTATTGAGACTTTTAACTAGAAAAAACGTAATCAACACTTATAAACAAAGATCAGAACACAACTGCATACTAATAATCAAGTTATTAGTCCTACTCAAAGTAGGACCACTTGACCGCCTCATAAATGGTGCAGAATTGCCTAAATTCTATCCATAAACTATTGTCAAGAACGTGAAGTTAGGGAAAGTAGGACCACTTGACCGCCTCATAAATGGTGCAGAATTGCCTAAACTCTATCCATAAACTATTGGCAAGAACGTGAAGTTAGGGATGGCAATTGGACAAATATAAAAAGGGTCGGTCATTCCCATTCCGTCCCGTCAAATATTTTTGCTATATTGTTCCATTCTCATACCGTATTAAAGAAGGATGAGACTGGTTCGAGGCGGAATATGTGGGGGCGGTTATTTTTTATTTATTTTTTAAAATGTTTTTAGTTAGTAAATATATATTTTTTTTTATCAATTTGTTAGAAACAACTTATCTTCTCTTTAAAAATGACGATAAATCTATTGTTTTTATTTGATAAAAATTTAAATTTGAAATTAACTCTAAACGTGACAGGTAGCAGGGCAAGGACTATGTTTCCTTACTCGTCCCGTACCGCTTCTGGATAATGACCATCATCCCCTCCTTGTCTCGTTTACCAAGTTAGGCGAGTTAATTCATGCCCCATTTGGGATGAGGTCTCACGGGTATTGGATTGAGCGAGTTTTTTTGTCATCCCTACGTGAAGTCAATAATTCTTTGTTTTTAACTCATGTTTGGTACCAATTAAAATTTGATTTTAATTTAAGTAAGAGTCAACAATTAATTTTAACAGCATATCTTATGGGTCAAACTTCTTTTCAACACACATTTTAATAATTTATATCAAAATCTATTATTTGAGCCTCATCAGTTTGATTGTTTCGTCCGCTAAATTTCCTTCGTTTCTGGACTATCCTTTCTGTAATAAGCTGAAGTGCAATCCTTAATTTCTTGCCCCCTCCTGCAAACAGCTTAAACATACAAAATATACACATTTAACAAAGTGGAAGGCAATGTTTGTAGATTAAAAAATGTGTGCGCTAATAAAGTATGATAGAGAATGGTAGAACCAATATTTTAGAATCACCTCGACCATAGAACCTACATGTCTGTAATATAACTAATTTATTAATATCTTCCTATGGTACTGTCTTGTAAGCTATGGAAATTATTCATTTGTCTTGTCGCATATTCCCTTAGATAAATATTTGTAAACTGTTTGTATTGAATACCAATTGGTTCTTGCAGGTATCTATAGTGAAAATTGTTGGAAATATGTAATAAAATCTGAAAAAAACTAATGAACTCTAAGGCACGAATCCCCGTTGCGTAGCGGCAAACACTAGTTGGGACGGCAAAACATTCGCAAAACAAAATATAAACACGCAAAAGATGAAAAATATCTAATAAAAATTGCATTACATATTTCATTCACAAAAATTCTACCCATTTAATACGCTAGCATTACCTTCAAGAAAATTCAGCCCGTCCATTGCACGGGCGAAGACTAGTATTTATTAAAAACATAATCTACTGAGACTTTTAACTGGAAAACGTAATCAACACTTATAAACAAAGAATATCAGAACACAACTGCATACTAATAAATTTATTAGTCCTACTCAAAGAAGGGCCACTTGACCGCCCCGTAAATGGTGCAGAGTTGCCTCAATTCCATCCATAAATTTTTTTCAATAACGTGAAGTTAGGGATGGCAATGAGACAAATATGAGATGGGTCGATTATTCTCATCCCCGTCTCGTCCCGTTAAATATTTTTGCTATCTTACCACATCCTCATACCGATTAAAAAAGGATGAGACGGGATCGAGGCGGAATATGGGTGAGGCGGTTATTTTTTATATATTTTATTTTTTGCTTTTTTTAAAAAAAATGTTTTTAGCTAGTAAATATATATTTTTTATCAATTTGTTAAAAACAACTTATCTTCTCTTTAAAAATGTTGATAAATCTATTGTTTTTATTTGATAAAAAATTAAATTTGAAATTGACTCTAAACGTAACAGGGTAGCGGAGCAATGACTATGTTTCTTACGCATCCCGTACTGCTTCTGGGTAATGACCCTCATCCCATCCTTGTCTCGTATACCAGTTTAGGCGAGTTAATTCTCGCCCCAGTTGGGGTGGGGTCTCACGGGTATCGGATTGAGCGAGTTTTTTTGTCATCTCTACGTGAAGTTAATAATTCTTTGTTTTTAACTCATGTTTGGTACCAATTAAAATTTAGATTTTAATTTAAGTCAAAATCAACAATTAATTTTAACTGCATATCTTATGGGTCAAACTTCTTTTCAATTACACATTTTAATAATTCATATCAAAATCTATTAAAAGTCTAATTTTACTCCTCATCATACGAAAGTCCAAAGTTGCGGCTCTTTTACTTTTCCAACAGTAGAAAATTTCATTTCCATGAGAATCAAAGAAGACCAGAACAACACGACTGCATACTACACAAAGTAGGGCCGCTTGACCGCCCCAATAAATGGTGCAGAATTGCCTCAATTCCATCCATAGATTATTGTCAAGAAGGAGAAATCAATAATTCTTTTTTTTAGGGGTGCCAATTAAAATTTTAATTTACGATAAAATCAACAATTAATTTTAACCATGTATTTTATGGGTCCAACCACTTTTCGATCACACATTTTATCAATTTTGTCAAAACCTATTAAAAATCTAATTTTAATCTCCACCAAATAGAAATTTAACTCAAATATATGTTAAAAGGCCTTAAATAGAAATTGGCAAAATAATGTCATTTAGTATGAGGGGTATTTAATATTAATATAATTTAAAATAACACAGTTCGATTATATATGAATAAATAATGATATATCACATCATTGGTATTATAAATCATCAGCGTACGATACGAAGCATTGATGAGCTTTCTATTTATTGATATAAAGGAAATGACGGTTCAATTATAACACGAAAACATGACTAAATGGTCATATTTACTATTTAAGATATAGTGGAAGTAGATAGGAGATTCTCGTACACGGAAAATGATCCAACGAATACAAGAGAATTAAATGAGGGGTCGTACGAGATAAAATCTCATGTGCAACTCTTCCTTCTCCCACTGATGAACCCTTCTGTCATTAGATCTGCTAGATAAGGAGGATATGTGTCACATTTAAAATATATCATCTTAATCAATAATAATTTTGTTTTATTCTTGAACAAATAGGGCCACTTGACCGGCCATGAAAGGTGCAGAATTGCCTCAATTCTATCTACAACTACATAAAATATTGACAAGAACATGAAAAGTCAATAATTCTTTGTTTTTAATATTGTTGCTTGACTCAAAAAATCTGTTTAATGCCCCAAATACAAGTTAACAAACGGCGGCAAATGCTACTGTCACACACAGAGTCACAGACTATTCTCAATAATCTGTTGAATGCCCCAAACACAAGTAAACAAACGGCATCAAATGCTATGGTCACACATAGAGTATTCATTTTCTTGTCATATTTCTTCTAGAAGCTTTCCTTTCAATTCCAATTGCACTATAAAGAGCTACACACCATATTCTCAAGAAAAGGCAAAAAACAACAGACAAACAGATCATTATCAACCCTCCTTCTAGAAGACTTGTCAAAGCCTTTTTCAGCACGATCAACTTGAAATTTCAGAATCCTCATCAGAAAAGATAAAGTTCATCGCTTTGATCCACGAAAAGCAGAAGCTATAGGGTCCCATCATAATTCGATTTGCAGTCTTTTCTTTTGGCCATTCTCTTAGTATAAGAATCAATCACTCTTTTCTTTCTTGTTACACAGAAAAAAACAGTTAAATGGAGATTATTCCTTGTCTTCCATACGATGTAGGGATTGAATGTTTGATAAGGGTACCTTATCAGGATTTCTCCTCTGTTGCATCAGTCTGCAGCACTTGGAAGCGTGATATTGAGCTGCCGGAGTTTTGGCGCCGCCGGAGAGCTTCTGGCTCGGCTCGAAAAGTCGTTGTGATGGCACAAGCCCAGGTTGATCCGAGGCAGAAACTCGGAACCATGAAGTATTCGGCTACACCTGCTTACCGGCTTACAATTTTTGAACCAGAAAGGGGTTATTGGACCGAGTTGCCTCCGATGCCCGAATACTCCGATGGGCTACCGATGTTTTGCCAACTAGTTGGAGCTGGGTTGAACCTGGTGGTGATGGGCGGGCTGAATCCGGTGACTTGGGAGGTTTCCAAGGCGGTTTATGTTTACAATTTTATTTCAGCCACTTGGCGACGGGGGACTGACATGCCAGGTTGTCAAAGATCATTCTTCGCTTGTGCGTCAGATTCTGATCGGATGGTGTTTGTGGCGGGTGGACATGATGGTGAGAAATGTGCATTGAAATCCGCTATGGCATATGATGTGATAAATGATAAATGGACCCACCTACCTGACATGGCAAGAGAGCGCGACGAATCCAAAGGGATTTTTCACCGTGGCAAATTCCATGTCATCGGAGGATACTCCACAAACATGCAAGGTAGGTTCGAGGCTAGTGCAGAATCATTTGATATCTTCACTTGGCAATGGGACCAAGTTCACGAAAACTTCTTGGAAGCTAGCACGTGTCCAAGGCATTGCGTGGATTGTGCGGACGGAAAATTATACATGTCTCGATCTATTGATGTGTCAGCACGCATAGATTGTACGTGGAAAATTGTAAGCGAGCTACCACTCGATTTACTAAATACAGCATACATGACAGGGTGGCAAGACAAATTGTTGGTGATTGGGTCCCCAAGATTCGGAGCTCCTTATAGAGCCTATTTATTGGATACGAGAACTCTCGAGTGGGAAGAAAAGGGAGCGCCTGAGGCATTCTCCGGTCATGTTCAATCCGGATGCTACCTAGAGTTGTAAGTTGAATGTTGTAATGCCATGCCAAAATGTACAATGTGCCAGTTTTGCATTACAGAGTGAAATCAATTGATATCCACTAGCGATATAGTAATGAGATAACCTTTTGTTCACAAAATGTTAAGGAAACTCGATCAATGATCATGTGTTGTCTTGCACTATGTGCTTGTTTGCCTTTCATTATAATTTCTTATAATTTAAAAGTTAAAGTCAAACAATTTTAACTACATATTTCGAACATGCTACAAATTCATTGAACTCTTGTGAAAGCATAAGTTCAGAAGACGAGAACTCTTCGTCAAGGCATGAATCATCCAGTCCTGAATCCATGATATCAAGAACTCCTCCTTCCATCCAAAGTTCCCATGTCTATCCAAATCTTAAATACTTTTAATGTTTTGTCTACAAGGTATAGACAGCGCGAGAAATCGTAAGCTGCCATTTGTGACCCCTCGAGGTAAATATAGCTATCCCAGTTATGAAATGGAACTTTTAAGTTAGCATAAATTTAGATAATTGATTAGTCAATGTTTCAGGGACGAGAGAACTATAAAAAGATTTTCGAGATTTTCAGGACAAGCCCCGACACACTAATCTTGTTAAGCTTTTAGGATGCTGCATTGAAGCGGGAGAAAGCATTTTAGTATACGGATACATGCCTAGTAGAAGAGAATTACGAATCGCATGAGCTTTGCAGAAGGAGTCTCTCAAGTACAACTCTACCTTCACAAGTAGTCAAGGTTGAAATTGATTTGAAAGTCAGCGATTTTGGATTGGCATGAATTTTTTTGGTGCAACAATCTGAAGTAAGTAAACAATATTCATAAATAACGAAGCAAATGTTTTCAGTACGGAAGTATCTATTAAAGAGTATTTGTTGTTTTACTTCAATGGCTACATGTCTCGTGAGTATGCCTGCCATACAGGGCATTGTTTCCAAGGGCAAGAAATTTCTTATTGGCATTTCATCAAACATTTAAAATGCAGGTTATTTTCTTACATTAACGAATAGTTTCTAGAATAAACTCCCCATCCATTAACAGTATACAGAACACTCCTAAGGTTTGAGAATTCTAATCCAAAATGGAACCTCAAATTGGTTAGGTTGGAATTTTGCTGCATTAGTCCATTCCAATTCTTTCGAAAAAGTAATTTTGGACTCATAACCTGTTATGCATAAAATTAAACTAGATGTACATTATAGCTTACACCTTAGATGATATTCCTCCCTATGTGGAGAAAATCTGTGTAGTGATGTGATGGATGAGTTGAAAATTAAGAATGTAGATGTTGTCATGTGGAAGTGTGTAAAATAAAGTGTAAGTGAGAGTATACATGTAGCATGATTGTTATGCATATATCTCCTTGTCAAGACCAATATTTTATGAGAATAAAATGTTTTCCACCGCCTTGAACACTAAATTTGATGAATTTGTAGTTTGCTTCAAATTTTAGACTTCATCCATTGCCTAATGTCTGTACATATAGTCTTTGTCAATTGAAACAAGAATCTTCTTTGCTGTTTTTTTATCATACCTCTGTGTGAATCCTACAATCTATGCAGAAACATATAGAGACACAATTTTACAAGGACAGCAGCCACTCAGAGATTGGGAGTCCCTCAATTTAGAAAGTAAGGTCTTTACAATGCGATTCTTCAGCCTCGGCACCTCAAAGAGCCGATATTTAGGCCTATTTTGTGGCGATGTTAAGCAGGCAGTGTGGATAGCCAACCACAACAGTCCAATTGCTGATGCATCGGGGAGCTTTGTGATCGACACATGGCAATCTGAAGTTGATTTACACGGGAGGCAATATTCGGGAGTGTAATGGATTCAGCCCCGGCTACCAGTATTAATGCAAGAGCTACTCTGCTGGATGGTGGCAATTTTGTACTGAGGGAAATGAATTCGAATGGTTCTATAAACCGAACCTTGTGGCAAAGCTTTGAATACCCTACAGACGCTTTTGCCTGGAATGAAACTCAGTATCAATTTCTAAACAGGGCAAAATTGGTCTCTCAGTTCTTGGATAAGTGGTGAAGTACCAGCTGCAGGATCATTTACCATTGGTGGAGACCCAAATGGCACAAAACAGTTGACGATGTGGTGGCAGGGGAATGTTCAATGGAAAAGTGGGCTTTGGAGCGAAGGGAGTTTCATCAATTCTCACCAATTATCTCACGAATTTTTTGTCAACTTAATCTACGTTTCAAATGAGAACTAGAAATACATGGTTTATTCAGTAGATAAGAACATCTCCCACATACAGTACTACAGAATAGGTACATCAGGCATCATGATGGGGAGTGGATTAGATCATTTGGGGATTGCTCTATCTCGGGGAAGCTGGATATAGGATGTGTGAAGAAGACATTGCCCGAGCGTAGGAAGGCTAATTTTGGATTCAATAATAAGATAGGTAGCATTGGTGGTGATAGTAACAGATTTGGCAACAACTACAACATGAGCCTCACTGACAGTGAGGACAAGTGCGTGCAGAATTGTTCGTGTGTCGCTTATGCCTCAATCACCCAAAATGGAACTGGTGGAATTTGGACGAAGATAACCAGATTCCACGTCTGGTCCTGCAACAGATAGGGAGATTTACTTGCTTATGGGAAGAGGTAAGTCGTGTCTCACTGTCATTCCTAAAATGCTAATATAAGCTCTATATTTGCTAGAATACAATGCTTTTGTCTTGATGCAGAAAGTAATTGGTGGAAATGATTTATTACGGCACTAGGTAGGACAAATTAGCGACATTCAGCATCATTTGTGATTGTGTATATAGAAAGCTCAGAGCAAAAGGTGAGCACTTGCACCAAGTTTGAAACTGGATTGTGATGATGGCATGAACCGTTTAGAAATATAATTATCTGTACGAATCTTCCATTTGTGTTTGTTAACAAGGTATGGAGAAAGAGAAAAATCGAGCACTGCTACATGGTTTGGAAGACACTAACTCCTCCAGGAAAACACAGCAAACCTGGTGATAAAATTGGCAAGAAGATGAGCCAACTTAACTTTTACAGCCTTGAGAGCATTTCCAGGGCTACAAACAATTTCTCCACTGCAAATAAGCTCGGAGAGGGGGGCTTTGGGCCAGTTTATAAGGTATGTTTTTTGCTGAACGATCCCTTAAGGAAATGTAAATTTAGATATTAAAGATTAGCCATTTTTTCAGGGAACATTACTTGGTGGACGAGAGAGAGCTGTAGAAAGACTTTCAAGAAGCTCGGGAAAAGGACTGACAGAGTTCAAAAATGAGATACTGCTGATAGTCAAACTCCTACGTACTAATCTTGTTAGGCTTTTAGGATGCTGCATTCAAGGGCAAGAAAAGATTTTAGTATATGAATACATGCCCAACAAAAGCTTAGATTTACTCCTCTTTGGTAGGTTTATTTTTATAGCTACTTGACTATTTATTTATGATCTCTCCAGACTTCAGTCACAACTGATATAATTGACAGCACGCTTCAATTTTTTGAACAGATCCCAGCAGAAGAAAATTGATAAATCGGACCAACCACAAGAACATTATAGGAGTTGCTCAAGGACTACTTTTAACATCACAAGTACTCAAGGTTGAAGGTGATTCATCAAGATTTGAAAGCCAACAATAGCTTGCTTGATCACGACTTGAATCCAAAAATATCAGATTTTGGATTGGCAAGAATAGGGGTGGGCGAGGGTCGGTTCGGTTCGGTTTTTTTCGGTTCCAGAGATTTTCGGGTATTTAGTAAATGGAACAGTCGGTTCCAAATATAATTTTGGAACCGTTCGGGTTCGGTTCGGTTCTGTTCGGTTCCGTACTATAATTAATTTTTTTAATATTTAAAATAATACTACATAAATACACCTGAAAGTTGATAATAATATTAGCCCCTGTTTGGAGGGCATTTTTTTCCCATTTCTAGAAATTTTCTTACCGTTAGACATGGGGCCAGCCGAAATATTTGACCAACNAAAATATTTTAAAGTATTGATAATACTTACCAACTATTTAATGTAATAATCAATTGTTTGACTTTCCATACTAACTACTAAGAGACTATACAAGAAAAAATTGAAAAAAACACAATTAACAAACATAAATAAACTTTAAATTGTTCAACTAATAAGATTTAATAAGAAAAAAATTATTAATTTATTTAGAAAAAATAAAAGAATTTGATTTATCCAATATAAAAAAAAAATTCCGTTCTTATTCGGTTCTGGGTCTAGAACCGAGAATCGAACCAAACCATTCAGTTCTCGATTCGGATACCCGTTTGGGTATTTCATTTAAAAAAACTTATTCGGTTCGGTTCGGTTCGGACATTTTGCCCAACCTTATACAAGAATATTTGGGTTGCAACAATCTGAAGCAAACACCAATAGAATCGTTAGAACGTAGTAAGTAAACTATACTGAAATAAGTTGGAAAATGTCAATAATATTCAAGTATCACTAAACAATTTGATCATCGCTTCAGTGGCTACATGGCTCTTAACTACGCCATAAAAGGCATCGTGTCAATGAAGACAGACGTATTCAGTTTTGGAGTTTTGCTGCTTGAAATTGTGAGTGGCAAGAAAAATTACGGCTGCTATCGCTCGGAATTCCCACTCAACCTCATAGGATTTGTGAGTCTCTATTTACCAAATCCTAAAGTATCTTCCATTTTTTTTCTCAAATCGAGACTATCTTTGTAGGCATGAGAACATTGGATGGAAGGAAGAGCTCTAGAGCTATTGGATTCAACACTGGATAAGTCAGTCCTAAGGATGAAACCATGAGATGTATTAATGTTTGTCTGCTATGCGTTCAAGAGCATGCTCGAGACAGTCAAACCGACCCTCCATGACAGATGTACTTTCTATGCTTACAAATGACGCTATGCAAATGCCTGCACCAAAACAATCAAGGTTCTTTATCGATAGTAGTGCACGAGAAACCAATGCAGACATCACCATTGAAAAGAATTACACGAATGAAATGTCGATTTCAGTGATAGAAGGTGGATAAGGATGTTATTCTGGTCTATATATACGAGTCCCCGTTCGGGAGAGATTAAAATCCAATTAAAATTGAAAATATGGTCGTTATTGGGTCCCACTCGTCTAATAAAAGTCAACAATAACGACTATATTTTCAATTTTAATCCCTCCCATACAAGGTCTAAATAGGTAGCAACGGATTGAGAGCTTGTTTGAGAGGGATTAAAAGCGGATTAAAATTGAAAAACTAGCCGTTATTGTTGACTTTTATTAGACGAGTGAGACCCAATAACGACTATATTTTTCAATTTTAATCCCTCCCATACAAGGTCTAAATAGGTAGCAACGGATTCTACAAGTGTCCTCTCTCTTTCCATCATCTACATTCCCATGTGGTTCACATGTTTTCATAAAAAATCTTACGTATATCGACTGCTCATGTTTTGAAAAGTAGAATTTTAGCAAAATAAAATAAAACTTAAAACATCGAATAAGTCATCTGGACGCACTAGTTTGGTCTACCGATTTTATCAATTCGGGCACATAATAGTCCTTGTTCATATAAACAATTTATAGCAGCTCGTGTATCATATGAGCCACGATGTATATTATCACAAGCAAATTCTAGGGTTCAATCAATATAAGGAATTTTTCCACTCGTCTCTCCCCATTTCCCGCTCCTTCAAGGATCTTGGAGAAGCAAGATGAAATGAAATGAAACGAAAATTAAAATATTATACCGGTTACCTTTTTTTTTTTTTTTAAATACATTTATTTTTAGCTCCTCTTTGGTGTATACTTTTAATCTTGACAAAATTTTTAATCAAAATCAATAATTAATTTAATTACATATTCAATGACATTCACAACTTTTTAACAATATATTTCATCAATTTTTATCGAAACTTATTAAAAATCTAATAATTTTTAAATTTACCAAACGAGGGCTTAATAGTATAAAGTACAAACGTAGATAAACCGTGTGATTTTATATGTGAGTAAAATTGTGAGTATATATATATATTTCTCTTTTGTTGAATATATTCACACTATAATTTTTAATAATTGGACTATATATTTATTATACGAAATATTCATAATCTTTACACATTATCATATTTACATCTCAAACTTTTTCATCGCACTTTTATTTTCAAATTATCATAAAATCGTTCTTGATTATAGTTTCTTTTTAAATTTTTCCTTAAAATAAAGTAAAAAAAATTCATTTGTTCATTATATTTTAAAAAAGCAAAACAAATAATAATATTAAAATAAGAATGTGATGAAAAAAAGTTATAAGAATATAATGCGATATTTTAAAGGTTAATGATTTTTAAGGTAATTAAAACGTATATATAAAAAAATACGGTTTGGTTATCCTCTCTCTTTTCAATTTTGTCGGCCCCTTTTTTTCTACATATTTGCGCGTCGCCAAAATTGTACCGCAACTGGGTTAGGGTTACCTTTTCATTGTTCAAGCGATTTCGTGATCACAGCGAAGCGAAACCCTAACCCACCCTATATTCCAAACATGTCTTCCAAGCAAGGTACCACGATCTTTTGAAATTATTGGATTTGCTAGGTCCGGTTTTGTTTTTCTTTTCAATCTTGTGAAAAATAAATGAAAGGTTCGTTGATTTTGTGCTTTACATTTCGGAATATGAACAGGTGGGAAAGCAAAGCCTTTGAAGGCGCCAAAGGTTGACAAGAAAGATTACGACGAGGTATGGGTTTACCGCAAAGAATATTGAATTTGGATCACGTGTTCCGTCGCATATGATTTTTTTTTGTCGATTAATTTATTTGATCATATAGTCATTATCTGTTAGAGAAAATAACAATATTTTGGTTTTGTGAATTTCGATTTATTGTTCCTCAAATCTTTTTTATTTCCATTCTTTTTTGTTGTAATGAGTTTTATGAAATTACCATGTATCAGAATCCTGAATCTTTAATATCAATGGCGTGCGTTTATGTTATTGATTTGCTGCAACAAATCTTCGACATTGAAACATGCTTCCTTCGCATTTGAAATTTTTTGTTCGATAATTTAATTGAAAAGAATCATTATTTTTTGGGGAAAATCAGAAGATTTGGGTTTAGTGAATTTTGATTTATTGTTTCTTAATCTATCTGTATTCTTTTTCTTGTTTTTGTATTAATAATATTTGTCTTCTTGATCATGGATATTTTCTTTAGCCTTGAGCTTACTTAAGCTGATATTATCTTATTTATTTTGGGTCTCTGTGGCTACCCAATATGTGGTTTTTGGTGTTGAAATAAATAATTAACATCAAAATCGTACATGAAATCTTAAACATCAAGGCAACCGATAAACTTCGAGGGTTGGAAGGCTCCTTTTGAGCAGCGACTCAAAAAAAATAAAAATGCATCTTTCCCTCCAGCTTAGTTTCCGATTTGGATCTGTTTATTCCTTTTATAATTCTAAAGTTGGTCTAATCACAGATTGCGTGTGGTCTACACTCCTTTTGGATTCATTGCTAATTTGTTACGTCAACTAAAAAATTTAATTCAGTGTTTTTAAAAAAAAAAAAAAATAGATACAGCACATCATTAATAGGTACTTCCCAAGGAAATTTGTCTAGGTTCGTGAAATAAGACGTGAAAGTTTTACATTGATTGTCAACCTTCCACAACTCTCTTGTATCATATGCGTAGTTTTAGGGAGCCATGCTTATATGTAGCCATATCGTTGAGTTGCATAACCTAATTTCTTATCATTGTCATATTGGTATAGTTTGTTATTACAATCATTCTATTGTTTGTGAGCATTAATGCTTCTAACTACTATGATTCCACCGTCCACCATAACTTTCGAGAAGTAAAAAGAACAAAAACTAATAGTGTTTGTTTGTTGTAATCTTACATTCTTTGACAAAAAATTCTGGTGTATTGGGATGGTGTCCTGGTGCTTAAAGTTTTTTATCTATATTTATTCTATCCTTATTATTTGAAACCTGTTGATGGTTTTGTAGGATGACAAGGCTTTTCTTCAGAAGAAGAAGGAAGAGGAGAAGGTGGAATTTATTTCTGGCAATTACACCTGATCTTATTTTGCATCTTAACCCCTGTTTGACAACTATTATTTTAAAATTCTTTATGCTACATGCTCATTTTCATTCACACATTCACACAAAATATTTGACACGTAAATCCAAAACTTTTCCCTATTTTTTAACCACACATCCTCCAAGAATTTACTATTCGAAACTTTATTTTTGTCAAATAATGGCCATCAAACAGTGGCTTAGTTATATTTATTTTGATTTTATCCCCCCTGACTTCTGTTATTATCTATTGTGATTGTGTTGGTTTGATAGGCTCTGAAGGAGCTTAAAGCAAAGGCTCAAAAGGGAGCACTTGGAGGTGCAGGGCTGAAGAAAAGTGGAAAGAAATGATAACTTATGAAGAACTACTAGACCTTTGTTGTCATTGTAATGCGATCTTACTATTTCGTTTAAATCTGTTTAGCTTGACGTCTTGCTTAGATAAACAATTGAGCAACTTTTTATGAAGTTTGTGTAAAACTATTTCTTTGGAGCAATAAACGTGTGTGGTTTCGTATATGTGAGAGGCTTTGATCCTGCCTTTTTGTGGGTTGTCTTAGTTTTCATGCTTCATTTTCCATTTGTTGTCTGAATTAGCATTTGTTAAGAAGGATAAGGGGTGGCTTAAATTGCTTGAGGTGGCTTAATTAGCAATTTTCAAAAATATAGATGTTTCCAGCTCTCTTTACTAGGAAAATAGAAAGATAAATTACTCGAAAAAAGAGGTATCAGGTTTATTGACATGGAAAACACAATGTGCAGGATTAATGTTCTGTGATATTACAAAATGTTCCATTTGTTTGTATGGTATTTTCCAATTTGTTGTTAGTGTTCTACTTTGAAACTAGAATTATAATGGCAACTATATATCTGGAATTGAGCAATGCTATTTGACTCTATTGGGGTTGCAATTTCAGTCTAGTTGGCGTTAATGTGGTATTAAATGATAGATGAAATTAAATAAGTCATTTAATTTTACTTTTTATTTAATCTATCATTTGATGCCATCTAGAAACTCCAATGGGCTACATAGCAATACTCATCTGGAATTTCATTATTGGGACGCCTAAAATGGAATTTCATTATTGGGACGCCTAAAAATGGGTCCATAAGCAACAAAGGTAATGTATGCATCATATGAGGTAAGAAATGCTGTCAAAAATAAAATAAAAATAATAATAACAAAACCCACAATGTCGAAAACTATTGACTAATTCTTAGGTGAACCTCAAAGAGGAGGATGAAAACAAAGGTAATTTCGACTACAAAACATCGAGAGACCCTGTAAAAACACAGTTTTCTAGTATCTCATGATCTCCTTTTTAAGCTTAATACCATTTTGGTTTGTTGCCCACGTAGATAAGCTACAGGTAATATAGGTAGAGGTCATGCACAAAGATAGTTTTCTATTATCTCCATTTTAAGCTTAATAACATTTTGGTTTGTTGCCCACATAGATAAGCTGCAGGTAATAGATTCTGTAGGATGTTGCGAGAAGACATCCTTTTTGGCTTCTTCAAACTGCTACCAATTCACATTATTGTTCGGGCTTGTCAGGGTCTTGCTTTTCAGGATCTTCCTCCTCTTCCTCTTTCTTTTCTTCTTCTTCCTCCTCATCTTCTTCTGGAGGATCAGCTGGCATTGGCGGTGGTAATGGAGTTTTCATTGGGCTGAATTGGGGGAAGATGTCAGGCCTCCGTCCAGGCTTTGGCCTATCCCACTCCTGTTACAATTGTGTTCAAACGGAACATTGTAATGAGCACAACAACATTACATAAACATAGTAGGGAGGGATTGACAATACAGGGTTACTCAATTATCTTTTTAACATGCAAAAATATCAACTGAAAAGAAGGGGTACAACGCTCACCTAGAGTCAACCTATCTGAAGCCTGAAACTAACCCTTTATTTGCAAGGGTCCACATATTTGTGAACTTCAGAATTTATTGAGAATCCAAAACATTAGCATGAGAATGACGAAATTCTAGGGGTCCTATATCCACCTTATCATGCTGGTAAACAAAGCTAAAAAGCCATGCCAATATGACAGGTTTTCCCCATTGTAAGTAATGATTTTATGTTTATTAAACGTTATTCAATAAATTCTTTATTAAATAAACCGTGCATGTATCTCAAAATTCACATTATGAAAGATAGGGAACATCACAAGCAGTTTTTTAAGTATATGTCAGATAAGTTTACATCTGATTTGCAAGTATCAAGAAGAATTGAGTGCTTTCCCATAAGTCTTACAAGAAGCCTTTAAGAAAATTAACAGAGAAAGAACAGCATTCACGTAGAAATAAACATAGCCAGAGATATATGGGATATTGGGAGGAAACAGCAGATAGAGGACATGATGCGTCTTAAGAACTAAGCTAATTACACCTTCACACAATTCTCACCATGTAAACGGAGGATTTTCTTCTGAACAAAGACCTGGCAAAGATATGGAAATTTAATTGCCTAAATGTTACAGGACCAACCTTGAGTATCCCAATTAGCTACTGACAAATACTGACACAGCCTATCCTGGATCACTCTGGTGGACCTGAAACGTGACGTGTGCAGGTGATGGATGCCAGCTAAGTGCCAAACCCACCATGAAGGCTAACTATGATCTACTTCTAACTGTGAATGATTCAACAAAATTTAGGAGTATAATGGACTATACTGACATGAAAGCAAAACAAATCCTAAACACATACATATGAGAACTTTTAAACCACTTCATATTCCAAGCATATAAACTTCAATTTATCATCGTGGCAGCTGTTTTTGACCATATCTAATTTCATAGGTTATACCCAAACCTTCCCGGCATGGCCAACAACATGATGAGATTCCCAAGTCACCAGAAGCAGTAAAAGTTATTACACGGATATAGAAAGAGCAGTTCAATTGCATTGCAACCCTACAATTGTGGCAAGAGAACGGAATAATCTAAGTACTGTTGATTTCTTATACTTCCACTATATACTATCCAAATTGTTTGAAATGTTAATACCAAAGTTATTTCTTATGCTTTTCTACAAGCATATACAACAAATAAAATAATCTCCTTCAAAAGTCAAAATTAATGTAATCCCTAATCACATAGCAAAATCAAATTTCAGGAGAACTCGTGGTACATGCTTCAAAAGAAATATTTTCCTTTCGAGATGATGAAATTATATAAACAATTCACAGCAAGCTCATTTATTATCGTTTTAGTGAATTTGATTTTGCTATCCGTTCGGGAGGGATTAAAAGCCAATTAAAATTGAAAATATGGCCGTTATTGGACCCCACTTGTCTAATAAAAGTCAACAATAACGGCTATATTTTCAATTTTAATCTGATTTTAATCCCTCCCACACAAGCCCTGATTGTCAACCTGCCACAACTCTCTTGTATCATGTGCGTAGTTTTAGGGAGCCACGCATATATGTAGCCATATCGTTGAGTTGCATAACCTAATTTCTTATCATTGTCATATTGGTATAGTTTGTGCTTCTAACTTGTTAACTATGATTCCACCGTCCACCATAACTTCCGAGAAATAAAAAGAACTAAATCTAATAGTGTTTGTTTGTTGTAATCTTACATTCTTTGCCAAAAAATTCTGGTGTATTGGGGCGGTGTCCTGGTGCTTAAAGTTTTTTATCTATATTTATTCTATCCTCATTATTTGAAACATGTTGATGGTTTTGTAGGATGACAAGGCTTTTCTTCAGAAGAAGAAGGAAGAGGAGAAGGTGGAATTTATTTCTGGCAATTACACCTGATCTTATTTTGCATCTTAGCCCCTGTTTGACAACTATTATTTTAAAATTCTTTATTCTACATACTCATTTTTATCCACACATTCACACAATAAAATATTTGACACGTAAATCCAAAACTTTTCCCTATTTTTTAACCACACGTCCTCCGAGAATTTACTATTCAAAACTTTATTTTTGTCAAATAATGGCCGTCAAACAGTGGCTTAGTTATATTTATTTTGATTTTATCCCCTGACTTCTGTTGTTATCTATTGTGATTGTGTTGGTTTGATAGGCTCTGAAGGAGCTTAAAGCAAAGGCTCAAAAGGGAGCACTTGGAGGTGCAGGGCTGAAGAAAAGTGGAAAGAAATGAAAACTTATGAAGAACTACTAGACCTTTGTTGTCATTGTAATGCGATCGTACTATTTGGTTTAAATCTGTTTAGCATGACCTCTTGCTTAGATAAACAATTGAGCAACTTTTTATGAAGTTTGTGTAAAACTATTTCTTTGGAGCAATAAACTTGTGTGGTTTCGTATATGTGAGAGGCTTTGATCCTGCCTTTTTGTGGGTTGTCCTAGTTTTCATGCTTCAGTTTCAATTTGTTGTCTGAATTAGCATTTATTAAGAAGGGGTGGCTTAAATTGCTTGAGGTGGCTTAATTATTAATTTTTAAAAATATAGATGTATTCAACTCTCTATACTAGGAAAATAGAAAGATAAATTACTCGAAAAAAGAGGTATCAGGTTTATTGACATGGAAAACACAATGTGCAGGAGTAACGTTCTGTGATATTACAAAATGTTCCATTTATTTGTATGGTGTTTTCCAATTTGTTGTTAGCTTTCTACTTTGAAACTAGAACTATAATGGCAACTGTATTGAGCAACGCTATTTGGCCATACTGGGGTTACAATTCCAGTGTAGATGACGTTAATGTGGTATTAAATGATAGATGAAATTAAATAAATCATTTAATTTTACTTTTCATTTAGCCCATCATATAGTGTGCTTAGACTAAAGTTATAACTCCAATGGGGCTACGTAGCCCCTTTTTTTTATTTATACGTAGCAATACTCATCTGGAATTTCATTATTGGGACGCCTAAAAATGGGATTCCACGAGACATCAAAAACAAAGTCCATAAGCAACAAAGGTAATATATGCATCATATGAGGTAAGAAATGCTGTCAAAAAAAAAAAAAAAACCCACAATGTCGAAAACTATTGACTAATTCTTAGGTGAACTTCAAGAGAGGAGGATGAAAACAAAGGTAATTTCGACTACAAAACATTGAGAGACCCTGTAAAAACACAGTTTTCTATTATCTCATAATCTCCATTTTAAGCTTAATAACATTTTGGTTTGTTGCCCAAGTAGATAAGCTGCAGGTAATAGATTCTGTAGGATGTTGCGAGAAGACATCCTTATTGTTCGGGCTTGTCAGGGTCTTGCTTTTCAGGATCCTCCTCCTCTTCCTCTTTCTTTTCTTCTTCTTCCTCCTCGTCTTCTTCTGGAGGATCAGCTGGCATTGGCGGTGGTAATGGAGTTTTCATTGGGCTGAATTGGGGGAAGATGTCAGGCCTTCGTCCAGGCTTTGGCCTATCCCACTCCTGTTACAAGTGTGTTGAAACGGAACATTGTAACGAGCATAATATAAACATAGTAGGGAGGGATTGACAATACAGGGTTACTCAATTATCTTTTTAACATGAAAACATCAACTGAAAAGAAGGGGTACAACGCTCACCTAGAGTCGACCTATCTGAAGCCTGAAACTAACCCTTTATTTGCAAGGGTCCACATATTTGCGAACTTCAGAATTTATTGAGAATCCAAAGCATTAGCATGAGAATAAATTCTAGGGCCCTATATCCACCTTATCATGCTGGTAAACAAAGCTAAAAAGCCATGCCACTATGACAGGTCTTCCCCATTGTAAGTAATGATTTTAAGTTTATTAAATGTTATTCAATAAATTCTTTATTAAATAAACAGGGCATGTATCTCAAAATTCACATTATGAAAGAGGGAACATCAAAAGCAGTTTTTTAAGTATATTTCAGATAATTTGACATCTGATTTGCAAGTATCAAGAAGAATTGAGTGCTTTCCCACAAGTCTTACAGAGAGCCTTTAATAAAATTAACAGAGAAAGAACAGCATTCACGTAGAAATAAATATAGCCAGAGATATATGAGATATTGGAAGGAAACAGCACAGAGGACATGATGAGTCTTGAGAACTAAGCTAATTACACCTTCACGCAATTCTCACCATGTAAACGGAGGATTTTCTTCTGAACAAAGACCTGGCAAAGATATGGAAACTTATTTACCACACAGCCTATCCTGGATCACTCTAGCAGACCTGAAACATGACGTGTGCACGTGATGGATGCCAGCTAAGTGCCAGACCCACCACGAAGACTAACTATGATCTACTTCTAACTATGAATGATTCAACAAAATTTAGGAGTATAATGGACTATACTGACATGAAAGCAAAACAAATCCTAAACACATACATATGATATAAAACTTTTAAACCACTTCATATTCCAAGCATATAAACTTCAATTTATCATCATGGCAGCTGTTTTTGGCCATATCTAATTTCATAGGTTATACCCAAACCTTCCCGGCATGGCCAACAACATGATGAGATTCCCAAGTCATCAGAAGCAGTAAAAGTTATAACACAGATATAGAAAGAGCAGTTCAATTGCATTGCAACCCTACAATTGTGGCAAGAGAACGGAATAATCTAAGTACTGTTGATTTCTTATACTTCCACTATATACTATCCAAATTGTTTGAATTGAAATGTTAATATACCAAAGTTATTTCTTATGCTTTTCTACAAGCATATACAACAAATAAAATAATCTCCTTCAAAAGTCAAAATTAATGTAATCCCTAATCACATAGCAAAATCAAATTTCAGAAGAACTCGTGGTACAAACTTCAAAAGAAATATTTTCCTTTCGAGATGATGAAATTATGTAAACAATTCACAGCAAGCTCATTTATTGTCGTTTTAGTGAATTTGATTTTGCTTCTAAAGTACTGTATTCAATTCTTCTACAGTCTTTGATTTCTGATTTTTTTGTTTCTCCTCACCGTTTCATCTACCACAAAGAAAAGTTGAATCAACAGATGATTTACATCAGCAATTCAATAAAAGAAGAAGTCTGAAAAACTTAACAAATACAGTATAGTGTTTGAAGCAAGTTCAGAGGCGGCCGCGGGACTTACGATTGGGAAATCAAGAGGGGAACGACGAGTCATCTTCTCTTCATCAGGTGCCATACATACAGTCCATGACCTCCGGTGTCCACTTGTCGAAATCCGAGCGCAAATGCTTCTGAGAGGCAGCAACAGAGCCTTTGAAGACGACGCCGTCGATGGTATCCCAGTTGCGGATGAGGTTGAAGAAGGAGAGGGATACAGAAAAAACGTCGTTTTAGGAGTCGAAGATATTGAGAGCAGCAATGCCATTACGGGCGGCGCGCGTTCCCCTATCTGAATTTGGGCTTCTCTCCTCTGCCGGTCCCAGCGGGTCCGGATCCACGAGTAGGAGCCCCATTTAGAGCTTGGAAGAGAGACCCGGTTTAGTTTGAATCGGGGCAGAATCGACCCGATCAAGGACTCCCTTTAGTTTGAGTTTTTAAAAAATCAGGTTTTCACTTTGTTTTTTCATTTTTCAGGTTTTCATCATTTTAATAAATTAAAACCTTAAATCTATTCAAACCCTAAATCTATCAATTTCAAAAACCTTAAATCTATTCAAATCCTTAATATATCAATTTCTCTCCACCCTCTCACCTCTCTCAACACGCCGCCTGCTTCATTTCTCTCCTTCCACCACAATTGCCCGCCACCTCCTCCCACTACCACCACCACCGATCGTCGCCTCCTCCACTCCTCCCTCCCTGTCGGCATCCCCTCCTTCCCTTCTCCCTTCTCCCTGCCTCCTCCTCCCACCACCACCCCCACCGCCCGCAACTCCCTCCCTACTCTTCCCTTCCCTCCCCCTGCTGATCGCCGCAGTGCGAGACACTAATGCAAATCGCAGCAGCGTCGTGTGGCTGTGGCGAACGGATCTCTGTGATGGTGCAGCGATTTTTTGGTTGTGATTTTGCTGCGGTTTCTCGGTTGTGGTGTGGTGGATCTCTGTGTATGGCTGTTGTTGGTGGTTGGTTGTCGATGGTTTTATTGTTGGTCGATGGTCTAGGCGATGGAGGTGGCGACGGATAGGACAAAGAGTTTATGTGACCAACTATTTGGTCGATCTGTGACCAAGTATTGGTAGTGTTTTGGGATTAGGGGGACGGGTGTTTGGGTGTATGTGACCAACTATATCGATCTGTGACTAAGTATTGGTGGTGTAGTGGGATTGGAGAACAGGGGTTTGGGTGTATATGACCAACTATATAGTTATCTATTGATAACTATTTAAATGTGACCTTAAAATTTGTTAATTTGTGATCAAAAATATAATCTGTGACCAACAAATTTGAAAATATGTGACCAACAATTTTTCTTAACTTGTGACCAATTAAAAATCTGCGATCTATAATTTTTTTCATTTGTGATCTTAAAATAATCTGTGACCAATTAATTTGATAAGTGATCTAAAATTAAATTTTTAACTACTCAATAAGATATATGTGACCTTGGAATCGGAGCAGTTACCGGGATTAAGCGGCGGCCAACGGTTACGAGAATTAAGCGCGGTCGGAGAACAGTCACCTAAGTAGTCGCCGGTCATCGAAATAGTGGCTGGAGCAGTGGAGGTGGAGGTGGGGTGGGATAATTATATTATATTACAATTTAATATTTAATTTAATAGATTAATTGTAAAATATAATTAATTAATTCATGGAAAACCTGAGTTTTGTAAATTTAAACATTGGGGGGTCTGATTTTTGATTTCGTGAAAGATAATCTCTGACTCATGAATTTTTCTCTTAGTTAAAGTCTTGGTTATAGCCCGTATAATAATTACTTGTAACAAAAAAAAAAAAAAAATGAATCTTTAATTTAATTAGTCCCCAACTTTTGATAAAAGTCAATCTTATCCTCAAACCAATTTTTTTTTTAATCTAATTTTTATTTTCAACTTTTGAAAAATTAGCAAATTAAGAACATTTTTCACGCTTAAATATGCGATTCTTATAATTTTCTTGTTACTACAGGGTAATGGGAGTAGCCATGTCAACAAGCCAAGTCGAGCCGAAACTCAAAGCCCGGGCTCTGCTCGAGCAATACAGGTCTGTTGGGCCCGAGTTGAACAAAAGCTCGGCCAAAAAAATGAGACTCAAGCCGGCCGAACTGGCTCGTGTTTTTTTTAATTCGTTATAAATCAATAATTTTTTATAATGTATTTCAAATTTGTACAATTTATACGTATTATAAATAATAACTAAATATTAATATATAAAAAAATACATCTAAACTTAAAAAAAAATAAAAAAAGCTCGACTCAGCCCGGGCTAGCTCAGCCTCGGGCTGATGCCCCAAAATGGGGGCTCGGGCCGAGCCTCGGCTCGATGCCACCGAGCCGCGAGCCTGCCCGACTCGGGCTTTTTCCGGGCCAAGCCCGGGCTGCTCGAGCCACCGAGCTTTTTTGACATGGCTAAATGGAAGTAGTATCCCGGTGTGTTATTCCTACTTGGATTTTGTAATTATTTATTTTATTTCAGATTTTATTATTATTATTATTTTTTTTATGGAATTTTAGTTCGGGATGTGAGATTTTCTTTCTTCATTTCTAGGATATTAATTCTTCCACTGCCTATATAATCTCTAGATTGTTTTCTTATGCTAATATTCGCTCAAATTTGTAATTGTTAGATTAATAGTTAATCAAAATATTAATATTAATTCATATGTGACACAATTAAGCATCAGCGAGTCCCCAAATAGTGTTATTTATCATGCAAGTCAGTAAAAAAGTTAAAAATCGAGGATTATAAGCATACGAACGAAAAACTTAATACAACTTTAGTTTTAAATAGATTTTTAGAGTTAAAAACATATAGTAAATCTTCGTTTTGTTTCTTTTTTCACAACTACTTTTGCTGATTTGATGTAATAAATAACGTCATTTGGTGATAGATTGACACTTAATGATGCCGAGTAGGATTTATGTTAATTTTTTTTTTGTTAAACGAGTGATCACTAATGCAACAGTTATAAACTTTAGTGACTTGTATTTACTCAAGACTCCAGTATCCCTATGCGTATTAACCCTATGAAAATTGCAATAAAATAAAAACTTTAACTGTATTATTGCATATTCTGGTTAGGTTTCCTTGTTAAACTGCAGAATGTCATAGTTTTCATGTCGTACGCTACATTATCACGAGCATTTGACATGAATGTTCAGACTGGAGATCCTCCATCGTAAAGGGGTTGCTCTAGGAGGAATTGGAGCTGGGGTACTACAAAGCGTACTCACCAGTCCAATTGAGCTAGCGAAAATCCGTCTTCAGTTGCAAAGTAATAAAAACCATGGTAAAACTAAACAATCAGGCAATTACAAGGGTTCAGCAGACATGGCAAGAAGCATAATTAGAACAGAAGGTTGGAGAGGAATTTACTGAGGTTTCACCATCACTGTGCTGGGGATGAGCCATCCATATCGTCTACTGTATGCAAGAGTATATGACAGAGAAACTTCACCGAGGATGCAGAAAAACCGGCCAGCAGAATTTCAGAACAATGCTCACTGCAGGAGGTGCTAGCTGGATTTGCTGCTACCTGGAGATGTAATTAAAACCAGAATTCAGGCTCAGTCAAATTCCTCTCAATCAAGTCCATGGGCATTAGTGAAAGCTTCAAGAGAAGTGTGAGAGACTCCAGCGTTCTTTGGCGAGGTTTAGGAACTACATTTGCCAGAGTCTTCATTGTGAATGGGGCGATCTTTACTGCATACGAGACAGCACCAAGGTGCCTAGTTAATGGCAATAAATCGCGCTGCAATTCAAATAGGAAATAAATTTTAGAGTACCCTGCTACTTGAAAGTACATCATCTTGGCATCAAGAATTGAGCCTCTTTAACGGAAATCTATTGGAGCAAACAATCCATCGAAGCAAAATGACATTTCCTCAACAACCGAAAGGACATCAAAGCATAAAGAAGCACAAGGGGGCGAGTGATGGAAATTTCTCCACACTAACGAAAACGTTTTTCATGCTAGACTGAAGCAATTTACAATCCAAATACGCGAACTGGGTACATTTCCAGCAGAGACGAGGTTAAGTTTTGCAGTGATCATAAATGTCATATGCAAACAACCATCAAAGTGAATGAAGGCAATGATTGGTCAAATTGTAAGAGAAAGGCAATAAAAAGACTAAAAACACGACTACATCGAGAATAACATAATTATTTAGACATTTGACAAAGTTCACATTCTCATAATTGAATTTATTTCATACGAAACACACATTTGTAGTAAAGAACTGTGCTTTCGCTCCTAAGCAATAGCAATGTTACTACAATAGTACAAGCTAAAGAACAATTACATTCTCAATTTCCTGTAATTTTTCATATTAAATGCAAAGACCACAATTAAGAAGAGCCATCTACCCCGTAAGATTCAACTACATCATCATTCCTAATACTCCAAAACAGAACGATACATATACTCAATGCAAGTCTGATCAACCAATCAGTAAGTACTTGCAGCACCAAATGGCTCGACCCTATTCTCACCAAGATTTAACCCTGTCATAGCATCCTCTAAACCACTGCTCGCCTGTGCCAGCTCCACAGGATCATTGTAACTCCTAACAGCCAGCACAATAGCCCGAACCTTCTTGTAAGGATCAGCAACACTGAATACCTCTGGTCCTAAGAATACTCCATCACATCCCAATTGCACCATCAGTGCAGCATCAGCAGGCGTCACTATACCTCCAGCAGCGAAATGGACAACCGGCAGCCTCCCCATTTGCTTCGTCTGTGCCACAATATCATAAGGCGCTTTAATCTGCTTAGAAAACGTAAACACCTCATCCTCGTCCATGTTATTCAATCGTCTAATCTCGCCCATCACTTTCCTCACACCACGAACCGTCTCAACTACATTCCCAGATCCCTTCAGATCACCTTGAGTGCGTATCATGGCCGCCCCTTCTCTCACTCTCCTTAACGCCTCTCCCAGATCGCGACACCCACAAATAAAGGGCGTCCCAAAATTATGCTTATTAATAAAATGATCCTCATCAGCTATGGCTAAAACCTCACTTTCATCAATGTAATCAACTCCTACGGACTCCAAAATCTGAGCCTCCACAAAATGCCCAACCCGGGCTTTAGCCATTAAAGGAATTGAGACGGATTGCTTAATTTCTTTAATCAGGGCCGGATCAGGCATGCGGGAAATTCCATCTTTGGGTGGATCCGATACAATTACACAACAAGCGCCGGCGGACTCGGCGATCTTGGCTTGCTCAACGGTGGTGACTTCCACAATAGCGCCACCCCGGAGCATCTGGGCCATCCCGACTTTGATTGAAAATGGGTTCTTCTTGGTATCAGTAATTGCGGCGTTGCTTCCGTAGACTGTAACAGCATTGTCCTCGGCCATTGTGAAAGTTTTTGTAGAAATACCTGAATGAAAAAAAACCAAATGTAATGTATTCCGATTTAGAATGAATTTGCAGATTACTTCAAACCAGATGAGAATGATATGGATATAAAAGGCGGTGGATTTTGGAGGGTTCGCGAAGTTTCGCGGAGGAAGGGCGTATGGTTTGGTGGTGGAAAGTGTAGAAAGTTCTGTTGATTTCAAGGAATAATGTTTCTTTTTTGGGATATGAATTGGACCATCAACAAAAGTCGACAACTATATTCTCAATTTTGTTTCAAAACAAAATTGTTAATTTATAATTTTGATAATTGTAGTAGCAGTCCCAAATTTCTTAAAAAATGACAGATTTATATAAATCTTTTAATTTGTAGCAGCGTTGATCTCAAATATTTCGAACTGGTGCGACAAAAGAATATCTGAATGGTTTACGTAAAATTACGTTAATTGACCAAAAGTCAGTGTTTGATCATAATTTGACCAATTTTAAAAGGGTAAAATGATATTCTAACCTTCTATTAATTTCATTAAAAAGGGTAATCTGCATTGAAAGTTTTAAAACCTTTCAAAAATGTATAACGATATTTCTCTTATAGTACTTGTTCGCTATCGATCTCTCATACCATATTTATCCTTGGGCGAAACTTATCGTATGTATGGGCTGCATCATCTTAAGAAATGCATTTCATGACCTTATTTTTCAAGTTGCTGCATCGTGTATTCACATGTACCCCTGTTTGGCCCCCATTTTTGAGGGTTGAAAATTTTTAAAATAGCAATTTATGGAAAAATGTGCGGTTGAAAATTTTTAGATTCGTGTGTAATATTATTTTATTTGATAAATGTGTGATTGAAATGAAGAAAGATGAAAAATTAATGTAATGAAATTTAATTTAATGAGGCTCAAACGAGAGCATAAATCGAAAAAAAATATAGATTCCACTTTGATTATTCCACATGATTGATTGAAATTAAAAAAAATTGATAACCTTCAAGTCTCTCTTCTTGTTTGTTCTTTAAGTAGGTGCACAAATTTAGAAGTTCGGATTAAAATGATATAAGAACAAACGACGATTTTGAGATATAGTCACTATGATTATTGCCTCTAATGCAAGTAAAGAGCATACTGAAACATAATTTAAAAATAAATTTGGAATTGGAAAATTGGGAGTAGTACACAATACATGTCCACATAAAGGAAGAGAGGATGAAGGGAAAAAATGAAATCCAATTGGATAACTTTGTTTAAAAGCTTAAACACGTAAATACACATACATTCAAACTTCACTTTCAACATATTCCTATATGTGGTAGTCGAATTTAGTGGTCGACCGAGGGTTGTGAAGGATACAACTCCCTATACACGTCCAAGAAAAAATTGTCAACGATGTCAAGGTAAAGTGGACAGGTAAGCCTGGAATAGTAATGCATCACCTCTTCCATATCCATCACATGATTCAAATCATTCATATCAAACTTTTCCATTTCTTTCATCTTCTGTGCTAAACCATTCACAATCTGAGAACTGGAATCCACTTGTTTCCCTTCCATGCATGTCTGGCACACGGTACTCGATTCATCTAGACATTACAATAAACAAGAATTTAATTAGTTCATATATTGTAATGTTGTTCAGTGTTATCTAATCCTCCTCACCAAAAGCGGCTGGTAACAGTATTTACCTGTCTTTTTCTCTTCTTTTCTTGCACCATTCATGTAGCTTCCACTGCATGATGATTTTTCATCTCTCTTTCTTATTTCTTTCACCAAAAATGGACCCCTTTTCTTTTTCTTCAGCAACTTGTTATGATCAGAATCCCAATGTTGGGAGAAATCTCTGTAGAAATTATCCAATTCCTGCATTTTGGGATAGAAGAGAGGATTGACATGAGGAGTTTTAGGTAGTTTTTGGTAATCTCCTTGGAGTGATGATTTAAGGTTTCTGAAAGTTCTATGAATAAAGTTTTTTATCTTGTGAAAGGATTCTTTGAGCATCATTTTTGGGTTAAAACTTCTGCTCTTCAAAACCTGTTCAAGCAAGGAGAAGAAAACTGCAAGTTTCTTTTGGTTAACTAGGGATAAAAGTTAATAGAAGGGGTTTTATATACACAATGCTCACAGAAATGTAGATCGGTCTTGCCCGGTCAGGTTTGTGTTTCAGGCTCCCTGCATGGCCCGTTAGTAGACCAGACATGTTCAAAAAAGGTTCAAGTCTGACTGATGTCAACCCTCTCTTATAGTTAAACTTTTTCTGAGGTGGTTTGATATGACATCAATGCGTGTACAAGACTTGAGTTCATATCTCATCGTCATTCTTGTATCTTGATTCCTTGATATATCTTAATTTCATCAAATTCACGGCTTCAACGAGTCTGAGCATCCCCTCATTTCAGTATAACTAGCTTTACATTTATTACTTTTTTTTCCCGTTCTTTGAAAAGAAAAAATAAAAAGCAACTCGCGTGGACCGTCTCGAGAAGATTAATTTTTGGGACAATTTGATTAGGAAACCGATCAAATCACAAGTTAAAGTTGAAAAAAAAAATGTTTGTTCACCAACCAGCAAAGGCTCCTTAGCTTAATATAATATCTCATTTCGAGAAATGAAACAATTGTATAAACACTAAAATACTGGGTTTGTAATGATTATTAGAAGACATACTGCTCTTTAAAGTGCTGTCGTTTTGATTAAGAGAAAAAGTTAAAAGGCTAAAGTTTACTAGATGATGCATGTCATCAAGATTCCTAATATTTTTTAGCTACTTTTTGACCAATAGGGCCTAAAATAAAGAGATTTGTGAATGGAGGGGATCAAAATTTCTTTACAAGATGAATGAAAATGATTGAATGGAAGAACTCTCTAACATTGGGTGGTTATAGGTATTGATTTATTAATTCCGTATATTATTTCGTTAGGTTCTTGCAGAGTAGAATCATATAGGGCGTGTTCGGTAGAGATTAAAATCGGATTAAAATTGAAAAACTAGTCGTTATTGTTGACTTTTATTAGACGAGTAGGAAAAAAGTTGATCTAGTATTATCTTAAGCGATGGAAAGAGGCGGAGAGATCATTGGTTAGGGGTGGCAACAACTCCCATAACATTTAAAATTTTTCTAAATCTATATAGAAATATTAAAATTTCTAAGTCTAGCTCCACTATTGAAGGAGTATTAAAAATAACTATACGATGATTTCAAAAAGTGCATTGTACACAATTATAGGTGGATAAAAACATTCACGATATTAATGAATATGTGCATGTGACGAAACTTTTGATAGGTTACGTCCAAAGAACCTAAATGCACCAAAAATGAATGTCCATGACATGAAAGAAAATGATAAAAAAGAAGGGATTTGAAATGGGGTGCTTCAAGGGGTATACTTTGGAACCGTCGCAGCCAAGTTTCCTATTTTTGGACTTGACAAGACTAAGGGGGTGTTTGACACCCATTTTAATAGAAAAATTAGTTTTTGAATAGTGATTGATGGAAGAATGTGTGGTTAAAAAGTAAGGAGAATTTTTAGATTTATGTGTATTATTATTTTATTGATAAAATGTGTGATTGAAATGACGAAAGAGAAAAAGAATGAGAATGAGAAAAAAATGGGTGCCAAACAGGGGCTAAAACTTCATAACATTTAGTGCTACTTGTGTCAATTTCCTAAGAGGAAAAAAAAAAATAAAATAGAAATCTAATGGATCTCATCGAGCCCTGAAAACAACTAAATCTTGGCTAGTTAATAAAGCCCAATAGGAGGCCCAATAATCATTAGAAGCTAAAACAAAGGGAAATCATAAAAATTCAGGTGTTTTAAGTTTCAAGGTGCAAAAATCAGGTGTGAAAATTTTTTAATTAGAATTCAGGTATTATATATATCTACCCTACCCTTACCCCTTGCACCCAAACCCTAATTTCCATCCCCATTCACGTGAGCTCCATATCCCTCCCCCACCCCAACAATGAACACCGATTTCTCTTCGACTCTTCCCACCGTCTCTCCTCTCTCAACAGTAGCAGCATCGCCCCTGAAAGACTCTTCCCACCGTCTCTCTTCTCTCTCAACAGTAGTAGCGCCGCCTCTGAAAGAGAATCTCCGGCAGCGGTGATGACTCTGCTCACCGGTCTCATCTTCTCACTGTCTCTCCTCTCTCAACAGAAGCGGCGTCGCCACTGGTAGGAATCTCTTGTGCAGCGGTGTTACCATCGCTGTAGTGATGATGTTGCCGCAAGTGAGCTGTGTTGGTCGCTGTGAAATTTTTTTTTGTGTGTTGGTCGCATAGATCGAAGGCGAGTTGTGTGTTGGTCGCTGTGAAATTTTGTGTGCGACGCAGTGAGTGAATTTTTGTGTGTGACGCAGTGTTTGTGTGATGGTCGCTCAGATTGACGGTGATTAAGTGCTGCGGTGGTAGTTCTTGTGGTGGGTGCTTTGCGTGTGAGATGGCACATGTGATGTGATCTGGTTGTGGTTGTTGCAGATGAGATTCGAAGAAATAAATCGACGGTTGTGGTTGTTGGTGGCGGTTGCGACCGCGGTGGTGGAGTGGGACGAACCATGTAGCGGCTGCGGTGGTGGTGGATCCTGGTGATGGTGGTGTTTTGTGCAACGACTATTTAACTTTGGTGGCGGATCTGGTTGTTTTTGGAGTAGAATCATATAGGGCGTGTTCGGTAGAGATTAAAATCGGATTAAAATTGAAAAATTAGTCGTTATTGTTGACTTTTATTAGACGAGTAGGACCCAATAACGGCTATATTTTCAATTTTAATTGAATTTTAATTCGAACCGAACACGCTCATAGTACTGAATAAAAGATAAACCTTTCAAAAAATGAGACCTTTTTCGAATACATCAATTCACTTGGGACCTTGCAAATCTGCTCTCTTTCCATTATAAGATCAAAGAGCCCTATGCCATGTGTTTTTACATGGAGAATTATTTATAGATAAGAGATGTAAAAGATGTTTCTTGCATTTCAAATCGTATATTGATAACTTTATATAAGGCCGAGTTAGATGCTTTTGACTTGACAATGAAAAGGTTGATCTAGTATTATCTTAACCGATGGAAAGAGGTGGAGGGATCATGGGTTAGGGGTGGCAACCGCTCCCATAACATTTTCAAAATTTTTCTAAATCTATATAGAAATATTAAAATTTCTAAGTCTAGCTCCACTATTGAAGGAATATTAAAAATAACTATACGATGATTTCAAAAAGTGCATTGTACACAATTATAGGTGGATAAAAACATTCACGATATTAATGAATATGTGCAGGTGACGAAACGTTTGATAGGTTACGTCCAAAGAACCTAAATGCACCAAAAATGAATGTCCATGACATGAAAGAAAATGAAAAAAAAAAAAGGGATTTGAAATGGGGTGCTTCAAGGGGTATACTTTGGAACCGTCGCAGCCAAGTTTCTTATTTTAGGACTTGACAAAACTAAGACTTCATAAGTAACATTTAGTGCTACTTGTGTCAATTTCCTTAGAGAAAAAAAAAATAGAAATCTAATGGATCTCATCGAGCCCTGAAAACAACTAAATCTTGGCTAGTTAGTAAAGCCCAATAGGAGGCCCAATAATCATTAGAAGCTAAAACAAATCCGGGCTAGTTAATAAAGCCCAATTTGTGAGCCCAACTATACTCCCAGTTTCCTTTAGGCCCAAACCTAAAGCCCATATAATCTGTTAATTCCCCTGATTTTTCCATATATAAAATCGATCGAATCAATATGCTCATTTCTTTGGCTAGAGCTCAAGGAGAATCTAGGGTTTCTGCAACTGCACAACAATGGTAAAAACCCATGTTTTACCTTTTTGTTTCTCGACGTCTTTACGTGTATATTTGCATGTATATCAGCAATTGATCTGATCTGATCTGATCTGTGTGTGTTTGTGTGTGAATTTCTGTTTACTTGGATGATAATAGGGGAAGGGAACAGGGAGCTTTGGTAAGAGGAGGAACAAGACGCACACACTGTGTGTGAGGTGTGGCCGCCGCAGCTTCCACCTCCAAAAGAGTCGCTGCTCAGCCTGTGCATACCCTGCTGCCCGCAAGAGGACGTGTAAGCCTTCCTTATTCGTACACTGAACATGTTTGATTTTATGCTTGATTGGTGTTTTAATCGAATAAACTTAATAGATAACTGGAGTGTGAAGGCTATTCGTAGAAAGACTACCGGAACGGGGCGCATGAGGTACCTACGCCATGTGCCACGCAGATTCAAGACCAACTTCAGAGAAGGTATAGATACATACACATTGATATATGCAAGTTGCAACTTTTTGAGCTTTTTTGCAACTAATGTTTTCTGGGTTCTCGTTTGTTTGTTGATTGGTTTTTTAATTATGGTGTGGGTTTAGGTACTCAAGCTGCACCAAGGAAGAAGTCTGCAGCAGCTTCTGCTTAATTTCGATGGGTTCATTGAATTCTACTTTTCTTAGTTTCTCTTTCAAGTATTAGAGAACAAGTGAATTTGGAAACTTCATATGAAGGGCACTCGATCCCATTTCATTATGGATTGATTTTACCTTTTTTGTTTTGTTCCTTAATCCTCTTAAGAGTATGGATGGATCAGAGACCATTATTTATTCTTTTGAATTCTCGTTCTTGTCATTGTTAGGATACTCGTGTTACAAATTTCTCAAAATTTTAGTGGGTTTTATCACCGTATATTTGTGGGAGTGTGTTCATTTATTTCCTCTCCGTGCTATCTGCTTCATCTTAAATATTTTGGCAAACGTTTAGTGCTTTATCGAAACTTAAATATAACTTTTAACATGTATGAAACCTGATTTCACATGACAAAGCCGTTGGTAACTATTCTTATGTTAGGATGTTTAGTGACCGATTAGGCTTGATTTAGTTTATATTTAGAAAATCTTAGGGAAATCGAGATTTGTGTTGGTTTGAAGATGCTCATTGTTGATAAGCTTTCTTATATTTGGACGGTCGGTGAGCAACTTCTCTAAAGCTCCTCAGATTTTGAGCTGCATACAGTTGAGACTTTCAGCATGATAAGATTTATATGGTTTCTCGTGTTAATGAAAATCCTGCACGGCGATGAGGAATGGGGCAGGGGCTTTCTTTTGCTGAATCAGATGTTAGCAGATGTTCTTTTTTCACGTACCTCAATGAAATTCCCTCTATTATCCTAATATATTTTAGTAGAGAGATACGTGTTTTTTTGTGGCATTTGTGAGGTTGGATCCCCGTGGGGGCGTATATAGTCAATGTCTTAGTTTTCCATGTTGTGAAGCTGTGTAGACTCCTGCTTTCACATTCTTATGCTAGTGCATCCTGGCTTTTTGAGGAATATTTTGGTTGAGCAGCAAGGTTTTATCTTGCTAGAACTCGCAAGTTGTAATTGTCCTAGGTTCACGATAACTTAGATGCATATTGTGATTGTGGATCATAGTGCATAAGCTTCTTTCTTTCTCTTTTTTGTTTTCCTGTGAGATATTGCTAAACTGCTTTAAGTTTGGTAAACGAGAATGTCACGTGAATAGTAGACGATGCTTGCACGAGTATTAGGGTACCCATTGTTTTGTCGTATTCCAGGATACTGGCCTTTGTTTGCCTCACCGTAGGTCTCCAAACGACTTAACTCCATAAGTGCATTGGTGCTTTTTTGAGTATAGAAGTCCGAGTCGTTATAAAAATGCTCCTTTGTCATCAATATTCGTTATGTGCTCCAAAGAACTTGACGCAGGTTGAGCTTGCCCATCTTAAGGTCCAAGCCCAACACGTGGAAGTCCATCGACCAAGGCCTCGGCCTAGGCCAAGTCCAAACTCGCCGTCTGATCAACACGTTTAATCACATGAGGAAATTAAACACAGCCCTACTTTTAAATTACCATTTTCATAAATCCTAAATCAAGTTTCATATCGTAAAAATCAGGTTTTAATTAATAATTTAAAAATATTTTTTTTATTTTTATTTTCATATCTAGGGCGTGTTTGCGCGCGATTTTGGAATGGAAAATCAATTTTCATGTCAAATCATACGGGCCCACTGGACAGCAAATTCTTGCACCGTAATAATAAATTTTGGCATTAAATTACCTTATTGTCCTCCAGGCTATCAATTTCTCTCACCTCAATTATTACCAACTTTGACTCTTTGAGGCGTGTAATAGAGGCGGGGGTAAATTGGGAAAATTTCATCTTATGACCTGACTTCTTCAGTCTTCTTGTCAGATGAACTTGAATAAAAAAAGAGAGCAACGGTCCGATTTTGGATTATTAACGGTCCGATTTTTGATTAATAGTGCACCCAGACATGCGTCTATTTACAATAAATTAATTTATATATACTCCCCCTACCCTATCTACCCCAAACCCTAAAATCGATTAACCCATCTTCTCTCCACTCTCAATTACTCCTCCCGTCTCGCTGCTCTACGCCGTCGTCGCCACCAGCACGGCTGTCGATTCTTCTTCCTCTCCTCTCCACCTCTCTCCGTCAGTCTTCTCTCCTCCTCGCCGCCGTAATGACCTCCGACGCTTGATCAAGACAGTTGTTTAGGAATTTAATCAAATAGCAAAGAATGCTTTCATTTATTTCTGGGCAGGATCGTTATCAATAGAAAACAATTATGAGGATAAAAGTGAAGCATTCTAGCATTGTCTCGTGGCTTCGAATTCTTTAGGACAAGAATAAGAATTTATTTCACACATAATCATGCTTTTGTTTCACTAGCTACCTGGTGGAGGTGTAGATCTATTTTTTTTTTTTGTTTTGTTTGAGCGGTTGGGTGTCGTGGAGGTGCAGATCTATTTGGGTGCGGTTGGGTGTGTGCTCGTGGGTGCGGCGACGGTGCGATGGTTGTGTGCTGTGGTCGTGTTGGCGGTGGTGGTTTCGGAGGTGGTGGTAATAAACGGTGCGGTGTCGTGGTATTGGCGGTGGATCGGGCGCTGCGAATTGTGGTTCTGAAGTTGGTGGTGACGATAGTTGTGTGTTATGCGTGTGATTTGTGTGTTCTGTGTTGGGGAGTGTGTGGTGTTGGTTATGAGGTGTTGACGTTGCTATTGGGCGGCGACGACGACGGTGGTGCCGTTGGCGGAGGCAGTGGTGGTCACAAATAATTTGGTTGTTTGTGATCACTAATTTGATTGGTTGGCTACCAATAAACGATATGTGACCAATGAATTAGATAAAATGTGACCAATACATGATGTGTGACCTAAAAATTATTAATTAGTGACCAATAATTTGATAAATTGTGACATAAATATAATTTATGTTCAATTAATGTGATGTTTGTGTGTAAATAAGTATTGTGACTTATAAATTTTGTGATTTGTGACCTAAAAATTTTCGCTGGAGTTGGAACACTTGTCGGAATTGGAGCATTCGCCGGAACAAAGTGGCGGTGGAACAGTCCCCGAAGCGGTAGGGGTGGTGGAGGTGGGTTGGGGTAATTATATTATATTACAATTAAATATTTAATAATAAATTGATTTAATAATTCATTATTTCATAAATAAAAAATTAAAGAATCTGATTTGTGAGATTTGGAACTTATTTTTGTATTTTTGAAATAATGTAAAGTAAATACCTTAGAAATGTATTGTTCCCTAATTACATTTGCATTTTCATCAAATATGTACACAATTTTCGTAAATAAGTTTACGGAGATCTTGAACATTGGAAATTTACTTCTCTGGTATAATAACAAATTCTTGCATCGTAATTTTTAAGTTACTTATCACTTATTTAGGAGTGCTTAAATTATAATTTAATAAGTGAGTATAGAATGTGTAGATAAAAGCGAATTATAAGTTATGGTCCACAGAATATGTGGATAAAATGTGTATTTAATAATTTAAATTGTAATTTAATTTATTCAGTTCAATAATTTATATGAATTTACATAAATTAATAATGTATTAAGAATAAGAATCGTGCTACTTGTACAATATCGGTTGACAACCACTCTCACTGTCTCACATAGGATGGGTGGGTGGATGGGTAATTTTTTATTTTTTTTAAAACACAGTGGAACCCACCGCAGTGAGATGATGTCAATCTCGGTTGTACAAATGGTGTTTCCCTAAGAACAATCAATTTTTTCACTTGAAATAAAAAGGGCGAGGCTGAGAATGAACTAAAAAGCTTTTACATAACAAGTTCTCAAAAATCATTACTGCTTCTGCATGTATATATCTATTTTATCAACTTAACTTTGCAATAATCTTCTTTCTCTCTCATCTTATAAAGCAAATAAAATTCTATCAAGATAAGTTAACTATTGGCTCTATAGTTCATCTTTGGTCGAGGGCTCCTGGGATTTTAAATGTTTGTTAATAAGTGCTGCCAACTCCTTCAAGCTCGATTTCGTGGGAAGATTGATCTGCACAGATGTAAGAGGCGATAGTGAAACAAGGAACAATGCGATATACAAAATGTACGATTAACAATGTGGCAAAATAATTACCGGATTCGACTTGTCACTAGCCGGGTAGAACAGCAGTGTCGGGTAGTCCTCAACCTGCAAGAAACCAGAAGAAAACATTTCTCAGCAAGGCAATAAAAGTGTCGTGTTTATTCTTACGATGGACAATATTTTAACTTTTTTTTTTCCTTTTAATACTGTCCAATCCAGTCCAGTCTACCCACCAAAAAAGCCATACTAGCACAGTGTATTGGATAGAAATCTAACCTGCAGATGTGGATGTTCATTTGTGGAAGCATCAATCCTTGCAAAAACGAGGTTTTCCAATCCCTTGAAATGCTTGACCAATTTCTCCACTTGCTTGCTCGTGGTTTCACAGTTGATACACCATGGTGTGTGGACCTTAAATTCAATAATATTAGAACTTAGATAAATTGGTTAGGAAATTTGAGGCTCTAAAAAATTATATAAAAAATTGAAGCATGTAAAGTTGTACGAACCTCTAGAAGAATGTTCTTAGGACTGTGGAGAACCAATTCATCAAATGTCTTTCCCACGACAGTTAGAATGGTTGCATTTTTCTGCATTTTGACAATTCCAAAGATGTGATTCGAAGTAACGAAAATAGAAAACCCGTGTTGAGAAACAGAGAATTTCACAAAAATGAGTAAAGAAATATCTGAATATAAGCATGATCGTCAAAATTACGAAAAACTCACATTGTTGGGAACTGGTTGGGATTTGTAGTGTGGCGACAGACTCCCATCCAGAAGCCTTGTGCAGAAATCCTTCAAGCAAATTTATAGAATATTGACAGTGTAATAATTGAAAAGATGAAGCGGAGAGAGATCGAGATTGTTACCTCTATGTGCCTTGGAGCAGGATCCGACTCCAACAGATATTTGGTGTTGCTATTGTAATCAAAGGCAATTATCTATAAAAGCACAAACAAGGGCAACAGAAGACGCGGAAATCAGAAGTCTAAACTTAAATGTTTGAAGACTTTTTTTTAATCTAACTTGAAGTGCACTTACTACTATATCATCCGACTCTTCTAGACCAAATAAAGTGAGGAAGGGCTTTGCAAGGTTTTCCTCTCTAATATCAACATATATAAACATTATCTGCCAAAACAGTAGCAAGCAAAAGAGATTAATACAACAACAAAATATTAGATTCAATTCAACAGTACCATGGTCAGGTCGACCGACCTTTGATTTGAACTTCCGAGCAATCTCTTGCAAGGGTTCAAGAAGCTTCTTGAAGTCATCAGCATCAGCAAAGACATACACCTACTTGATATGAGAACTAGGTTATTAAATTAATGCCTCGGTACAGACAAGAACATCAAATCCATTGACTATAGTTTATAAGTCATGTTTGATGAATCATTAGGAAGTGTCAAGGAGTAATGATCCACAGTGCTGTATAGGACTTAACATACAATAAACAAGATTTTATCTTTTTTTTTTTTTAAATTCCTTAATGCTGCATCGTACTATCTAATCCTGCCCACTAAACAAGCCATAAGAGTTATATAAATGACGTGATTCTTCATAATGATGAACGACTGATCTGATTTCTAAAATAGATATAACATGTTCAAACATGTCTATAAATTCCTCAATTAATCTATGAATGTCTTTTGCAGTTAACTTATGGGATCTGCAGAACCTGGACCAGTTACATGCCTTACAAGAAATTTGGATGGAACTAGTTCCACTTATTTCAAAGTATACTATTCCTAGATTCTTTTATAGAGAGCAGATAGCCTGTGCCTAGGGCATCATCCCCATACTTAATTATGTTTCTTTTAATTATGTCTTGCAGTTAACTTATGGGATCTGCAGAACCTGGACCAGTTACATGCCATACAAGAAATTTGGATGGAACTAGTTCCACTTATTTCAAAGTATACTATTCCTAGATTCTTTTATAGAGAGCAGATAGCCTGTGCCTGGGGCATCATCCCCATACTTTTAATTATGTTTCTTTTCTATTTTTCTTATCTTTTTAATAAGGTACAGTATTAGGTTTTTTCTTTTTTCTTTCAGGTAACAGTATCAGCTGGGGGAATGGGATAAAGAAAAATATTTAAGCTTTAAGCCATAAAAAACAGAGAAACAGAGAAGAAAACTATTGATAATAACAGTAACTTGAAGCAAAATCAACCTGCCGTTTATTGGGGCTTGAGTATACTTTAGCAGAATTAAATTCAGTCAACGTCGTAACTAACGGGAACTTGTTGTTATCCAAAAACTGCAAGATTCTGTCACCATTGAAGTTACCTTCTGCAAGCCACACAATATTGTCTAGCCGGTTAGAAAAAAATTGCTGAAAATACAGAAATATAACCAGATAAGACTTTATAATCCATGGACGCTAATGAAAAAATGAAGATCCCAATGTCATGGTAGCTATAGACTGATTAGGGGAAATCAAAAATTATTATGTTGCTCCACATGTTATAAATTACATTTAAATAAAAAGTTCTAGTAAAATTCTGAAACCAACAAGTTTGGTTCTCAGAATCAGAATCCAAAAGTGAAAGATGTTTAATTTTTAAATGAGTTAAAAATCTACGGAGACACTGAATAAATCGATACATTTTTGTTCCAGAAAGTGAAGATATGTATTTAACACAATATTCAAACCCTGGAATGGCTTACAATTCATGTGATTTTTCGTTATGGAATTATATTTTGCACAGTTATTCACAAATTTAACCTACTGGATAGGTTCTGGTTTAATATACTGCAAAACCAAAAGTTACAGTACTAAGTTCAGCTATGGAACCGAGCTAAATCAGCTCATTCCTAGATAGAGTTTACACGAATCATGAACATACCGAATACAGTGTACTGCTCTGGTTCGCTTTTAACAAGACCAAAGAAAAGCTTAGTAGGCTTTATATCTGGGAATAAGACCTTGGCTATCTCTTCACTGCTTGTTTCAACAAATTGAATCTCATTATCAGCTTTTGCAGCTTTAACAAATTCTTCATAATCTGGCCCCTGGATATATTTTTGTCCACAATTTAGTTAAGTGGAAACTGAAAACTCATCTGCATTAAAGCTATTTCAATAAATCGCATACTCTATAAAAAATATCTATCCCAACAATTCTCATAGCATCGATATATTTCATTTAGCAGCACTTCAGGACCTAAACATCGTGGGGCCAACAACTTTGGAACAATGAACTTAAGAAATATCCTGAATGAACCCAACATTGATATTTTGACGGATAAGGACATGAAAAAGAAGATTTTCTATATAGATTCATCTCCTCTGTGAGTGCAAGCTTTCACAACATTTTCAGCTACAAGTTACTTTTTAAGAAAATCTCAAACGACACAAGATATGACTTTTAACCGTTCTTCAATTGTCCAAACCAGAAGGATGTGACAGTTCATTACTTAATGATAAATATATTCAAAGCAGAAACTGTATAGTTGGAACTAAGAATGACCCAAGTCGCTGCAACATTGAAGTCGAAATATGGACATTTTGTTACATAAGCAAATCCTCATCATGACAAGAAATGAATCCAGTAGGGGGGGAGGTGGGGTGGGGAAGAACAATGCTTGAAACATCTATAAACTGTTCAAACCATTCAAAAAATTAAATGTTTACCAGAGAAAGTTTCTACTAATAGGAAGTGACTTAAGCAGTTATTTATTTAATATCACACAAAAATGCATGTTTGAAATTCAATTGATGAATGGAGTTCGTAGTATCTCCTTAGGAACATTCAAGCTAGAAGTTCCATAACATTTACTGACATACCTCAAATTTGTCAAAAAGCCCAACTGCAAACATAAAATGCTTCATCAGGAACTCATTTGCCTCATTGACTGAGTTAATTCTAATAACAGGCGCGCCAGTCTTCTTCCTTGCCCAAATCACGATTTCGTCCCTATCACAAATCATCATTAAAGTAACAAATCAATATACCACGAGCCTAAAAACAGGAACTTATATGCACGAATACATTCTCAGTTCTCCATAATCAATAATTATATTCACAAAACCTGTACAGGGATTCAAAAAGGTAGAACACATCATCCTTCATTTATACTCTTTTCTCACAGGGTTCTAGATTCCAGTTCAGAAGACTGATCTCACATTGTGCTCAATCAAGTAATTATGCTATTCACCCTTATTTTTTCTTGGAATTGGAATTTGAGTTCTTTGGATCAATAATTCTCCATATTACTCGTATATCCTACTAAACTCTTAATATCAACAATACAATGAAAAAAAATGCTTACGACGAAAAGCCACCAGTGTACGGCTGAGACAAGCCATTGACAAACAAAAGCAGTGTAGGGTACCCTTTGATCTCAAGATTTGAGGCAGCTTTAGGATACCTCTCAGCATCAATCTTAGCCATCAAAAGGGTACTCCCCAATCCCTTCAAAACATTTGCAGCCTCAGCAAATCTTGGCATTAACTCAGCACTTCTAGCACACCATGGTGCATAACCCAATACCAAAACATACTCATTTTCCTCAATAGCCCTCTTGGTATTATCGTTATTAAGCTCAAGAACAATTCTCTGGGCCTTACTTAAAACCTCAGCCTCAGATTTTCTATCATAATCCTTATTTTCATAAGTGGGTAGTGAATTTACTTCTTCTTGCTCATCTAATGCTATGAGTTCTTGAATGTCTTCCAAATCATCAGCATCTTCATCTGCTGATATGGAATGGATCAAAAGGGGGAGCAAGAAAAGGAAAATTAAGGAGAAAATGAGCAATATTGAACTGGGTTTGCGTTTATACATGATAATTAGTAGAAAAAGGTGATGATTTCAGGGTGGATTTTGAGGTGAAAGATTGAATTTTTTTGAATGAGATCTAGAGAACTCAATTCATAAGCTGTGAGTGAACGTGCAAAAGTGTTGGCGAGTTGAGAAGACTGGCTTCTGCTTTTCTCTACAGTTGACGGTGGGGGCGCCAATTACTCCGTTGTCTCGTTACACTTTGTGACAAAATGATTTTTCATTCTAAAAAAATTGCATTATTGATCTTTAATTTATCGATCTAATATTTTTTTTATTTGATTTGGGTTAAAATACAAAATAAGTCAATACATGGCGCTCCAATTCCAATCTCAAATTAAAACTTGTTCCAAATTAATAGAGTTCGTTTACTAAGACTTTGAAATTTTTAAAGTTATTTGTAAAATTAAAAGGTTGATTTTTAACATGTTTGAATAATTTTTAAAAGTGTTTTATCTAATTGAAAATATTTATATAGAAAATTGATTTTGGATGACTTCTTCATAAAATTCTTCTAAAAAATACAAAAGCAATAATAAAAGTCGTATCAACAAAAGCCCTTAGGCCCCTCTTGGTAGCTTCGGTGTATCGATTATAAGCGTTTTTTAAAGTATCGATTTTGAGCGTTTATGAGCGGATTGATTTTGAATGGTTTTACCATCGATTTTTAAAACTGTTCAACATAATTTGAGAGTTTATAATCAACCAGTTCAAAAAGTTTTTTAAAAGAATAAACTTACATGTATACCCCCTTTGTAAAATTTTTAGTTTATAGTTTTTTATATAATTTTTTTTTTACTTATAAGTGATAGTTTACTTATAGGTAACTTTTTTATATATAAGTTAATACTTAGTTTAAAAAATTAAACAAAGTTAAATATTGCTTAAAATTTTAAGTTATTTATAATTATAAATTAATTTTATATTTTTAAATAATTTTAAGTGAATTTTTTACTTATAAATATAAATTTTAAATAGTTTTAAGTGAATGTTTTCTTATAAGTAAATTTTTATTTTTTATAAGTGAATTTTTGTCTTATTAGTTAAATACTTTTTTTTACAAAAAAGTGACTTTTTACTTATAAGCAATTTTTTAATTATAATGTATTTTTTCCTTATAAATAATTATTTAGTTAAATAAATATTATTTATAAGTTAGTTTTGAAAAAATAAATGTTAGTTGAAAATAATTATTTTATAGAGGATAAAATTAGAAGAGAATATGAGAAATAGTCAAAATCCATTGATTTGATGGGTTGAGGAACCAGTAACAAGCATCGATTCTTTCAATCCCTTATAAACGGTGACATCCATAATCGGTGAAAATAGAACATCCAAGCATGCCCTTGATGCTCCCATTTTCTCTGTGTCTATCCAAATATATAAAAAGAATATACTGGGGTTCCCTAACCTTTTGTGGTTATGGTTCCCAACATTTTTAAGCCCTTGTTTGATAAGGACTAAAATCAGTTTTTATAAATTTTAGTAAGTTACTGAAATATGTGATTAAAAAATTGTAGGTCCATGAAATATATATAATTAAAGTTAATTATTGACTTTGATTTAAATTTAAATTTAAATTTTTACTAAACGGGAATTAAATCTGTAAATCTGACTTCCCACATGATTGAAACCTTGAATGTAGACGTTAAAATTATATACGACTTTCGGTTGAATTTGGGAGAAATATTAAATGGTTCGACAGTTTTTCCCTCTGTTTTTAAGTAGTGTGAAAGTCGCATGTAATTGTACAATTGACATTGACATTTTCGATCACACTACACGTTACTTTACAGCACAACAAAACGTGCTAGATTGGTGACCAACATTATCTTTGATTGCACGAATTCTCAAGACAATCTCTCTATGTAGTTTAGAGTCGAGAAGCTATGACAGGGATGAGGTTCAAACAAGAAAAACAGTGAATGTAAAGATCACAATGCACTTAAAACACCAGTTTTATACTTTTATTACCATGACATTACAGAATTGAAATTCCTTGCAGGAAAACATTTATGAAACTGTATTGTTTGAACCAGAAATTTACACACGAGACAGAAAAACGAGCAAAATGTTCAGTTCAACCAGTCGAAATTTAACTGTAAGTGCACGAATCCTTCTTAAACTTGATAGGCTTGTTGCTTGTGGAATCGATGATCAACGAGCAAGAAATCCATCTCCGGCGCTTTGTTCTCACCAATTTTCCAACCACATCTCCTCGAGTCCGGATTTCAAACTCTAACGTCAACGGAACTTGAACGGCGTTGCTTGAAACTACTAGATTTGATCCGGCCCCATATAGGGGTACCTTGGTTCCTTCTACGTGCACAACCTTAATCTGGCTGCTCTTCCGTCCTTGAAAATATTTTTTCAGCTGCAACATAAGAGAGATGAAAAGTATTGGATTCGACTGAACAGTGTAATGAAGAAGACTCTTTAGTTTCTGTTTCTTCTTTCATATTGTTGAGTGCCTCCTTTTCAATCTATATGAGTAAGATATATTTATGATTTCGACACTCAAATTACCATGGGCGATCATTAATCGATGCTCATACTATGTGCTTGATAGCAAAACAGGTCAACGAGAAAAGAGAACATCGGTCACCTGACCAGTTGCAACCACAACATCGGAATAGACCAGATTGACAGGCGTCGAGCTAACATGAATACCATAAAATGTAGCCGGGTTGTACACACTAATCCTCAACGATCCATTCACATTCAGCATTTTCGTTGGAACCCCAGTGAAGTCAGCACCCGATCCTACGTACAGGTTGCTTACCAACAAACTCTGCAAAAATGATTACAATGCGAAGAGTTAACAGAGAGAGAACCAGTTACAGAGCAAAGATCACCGACCCCTTTTACCTCTCCTTGGAAACTACAATCCCGTTTTATCCAATCTTCCGTACCAAACATGATCAATTAATCAGAGAAAGGTTACACGAGGTATGGTGCTACAAATCATTAAATGCAGCATACGAATTGTTCTTCAATAGTAGATATTATCAATAGAATTTTTCCGTTGAAGAGATGGGACAAGTTTATTTATTTGAATTGTATGTACAAGACACCTCCACACGTGCAAACTAGATTCATTTTTTTCATCAAACACAGCATGCACAATTTTCATAAATAGGTGATTATGAGTTTCGAAATTAGTAAATTGTTGTCTCTTGTTCCATGTTAAACTATCTCGTCTAAAAAATTGCTTTCTAAGTAATACAAACAAATTTCAAAAGCAAATAGAATAAATTGCTTTACCTTAACAGAAACCTCTGGTTTATAAGGCCTGGCTGCACCCCAAATGATCAAACAGAAGACAGTAAAAAGAACAATAAACCCACAAACACCCATCAAAGCCTGGCATCTCCTAGTAAACGCCTTATCATCATCAAATTCATCATAGTTCCCCTCTTCTAAGATCACATTACACTCCGGCCACCCCTTATCGTTCCTCTTCCGGTTCCCTTTACGCCCTGAGGACGACCTAAATATCCCGGAAAATCGACTGGCTGATGAATTCCTAGAGTGGCGCCCAAATGAAGGGTGTGAAGGGGATTCCATTGGGCTATTGAAATTAGGAGTTGCATGCATAGAGGATGACTTGTCCCCATCATGAGAATCCCTTGAAGGGCTCTGCACAAAGTACTCTGGCCTTTTTGGAGACCTTGGTGGAGATGATGGGGCTAAACTAGTGATATCAGATTCTGATTTTGTGTGCAGCATATCTCAAGAAATTTGCAGATTCTTGAAAATTAAATATGAAATTGGCACTTTTTAAAGAAATTAGCAGAATTCAAGCAGTAGATTCTTGAAAAGAAATATGAAAATTTCACTTTTTCAAGAAATTTGCAGAAGTTCAAGAATCGTCTTTCTGAGGAGAAAAAAATAAAATAAAAGTGAAAATGTCTACTTGTAACCAGAATTTGGGCTTGATTTCTTGGCTATAATAATAAAGAACAGAAACAAAAATCCTACATGTAATTGCTGAAAATAAGTGAAAATCTATTAATTACATGAAGGAAAAAAAAAAAGTAGAACACATTTGCATTAAACAACAGAATGAAGGAACTGAATTGAGCCCACAAACCAAAATCATAAATTCAACTGAGCGATGGAGTGAGAGTGAGTGGAGTCTGTGCATGATAGAGAATAAATGCGTGAAGCTTGCGTTTTGAGAGAGGAAGAGACACAACAACCGACACCTGTTAACGAGGCTGAAACTGGACCTGATCCCAAGCCTGTGCATGATATTGGTTTGGAATTGAGTGTCGGCAGCCGGGGTCAGTATCAAAAGTGACAACTAGCTTTGGGGATCTGACAAGCCAGCCAATTAGATTTTCTTGAGTTGTTTTTTAAGCTCTTTACTTAAAAAAAAAAAAAAAAACAACGGCAAACATCTGCCTGCCTTGAATTTTGGTGAAAGAGGTAAATCACAGTTTATGCCTTCAAGAGTATAGGGTGGAAGGCTGCTTGTACACTTACGCTTATCCAAGGGCCAAATCTATATTTCAGGATTCGAACTCTTGACGCGACAGCCTGAAGTAAAGCTGAAATTTTTTCACCTTCCTTTTTTACCACTTGAAGATATGCCTTGGAGACAAAAGATATAAAGCTGTTTACTTTTTTACTCTTATAACTATGGAGGTATATAATATAAGAAGGTGATAATTTTTATTTTTTTTTGTATTTAAAGTTTTGACTTTTGGAACCGTGACAATTTATTTATTTAAATTATCTTCGATACTTTCCCTAACTTATTATATCGTTTTTACGTAATCTTGGTACAAATACCTTTTTTAAATTTAAAGTTAGACATCTCGAGCACCTAAAACGATATTCAAACAATTTATCCGTAGCACTTTTACTTCGATACATATCCTCGTTTCTTATTTTATCGGCAACCCATTCATCTTAATACTTGTATGTAGTGTGCTTGGCAATTTTTTTCATTTTCTGTTTGTCTACTCAAATGGCACATTTAAAATGATTATTGAAACAAATTTTACTCGCTGCAGGTGCGTTGGACATACAAATAAAAGCCAGCAGCTGTCTACTTTTAATTATTTTTGTAATAAGTTGGCAACTAGAGAAAAAAAAAAGCATTTTTTAATTGGTGGGTCTTAGATTATTGGAGTTGTTGTGCAATCCCATTTGTCTTTGGGCCACATATTTTATGAGAGCAGACAAAATTTAACCAGATGCAAATTATTGCTTCATCAAATTATAAAGAATATACCCTTCTTATTAGTATTTATCTTTAGCCGGTCAAAAAGGGTTATCCATAAAAATACAAAAATAGACCAAAAGTATGAAATATAATGATATGGTAGTTAGTGGTTTATCGAAATAGGACTATACCGGATTAAAAAAGAGAAGTATTAGACAATTATTTAATCCTATTCATTTCTTCAGTATATCAGATATCTCATCACATTCAAAATGCAATATTAACACGTTGAAACGTAATATGAATAATACGAGGTAAAATGATGCACTCACCTCCTTGTCGAGGTCTATGTTTGACCTATCACTAATGGAATGTGTAGTGGCATCATGCGTGACATTATCGTTGGATCTACTTGTATTGACTATTTCAAGTTTAAGGCCATGTGAGGGAAGGCTGGCCTGGGGCCCTACCGGCCCGGAACCCTCCGGTGCCACGGGCTTTTTGTGTCAAGTGGAAACGAGCTAAAGTCCAAAAATTTACAACATAAATTACCATCAATGATCATTAAATACTTCATTGCATGCGATAATTCCACAAGTACAAGGAGCAATGAAATTGTTCTTTTTATGATAACTGAAAAAAGAGATTCAATGTTTATCAACCAAACAATCATAAAATCTGTGCTTTCATGATAGAATCAAACAACAGGGGTTAATAGTGGTTTGTTCAGAAAGTGAGCTTCCAAGTTCCCAATAACAAGGTCAGCCATGGCATTGCGGGTTTCTACAGTTCCGCTTCCCACATGAGGCAACAGGACAACGTTGTCAAGACCAAACAGCTGCTCTGGTACTTCAGGTTCCTTTTCAAACACATCAAGTCCAGCACCACCCAATCGACCCTCCACGAGAGCAGAAACCAGTTCGGGTTCGTCCACATGAGGGCCTCTACCAATGTTGATGAGAACTCCCTTTGGACCCAATGCATTAATTACTTCCCGGTTGACAATATGGTGTGTTTCAGGAGTCAACGCACATGCAACGACAAGGATGTCACAGTTAGATGCCAAGTCGACAACACTTGAGTGGTATTTGTAATTTGTACTTGGTTTCTCCGATCTTGAGTAGTAACTAATAGGGCAGTCGAATGCCTCTGCTCGTTTTGCAACTGCCAATCCAATTCTGCCCAATCCTATGATACCAACTCTTTTACCGCTAAACTGCAAAAAAAGATGAGAAAGATGTGGGCATGAGAGAAGAAGAAAGACGGGCGCTGAAACAGATTTCACCAGGCAAAGAATTTAGCATAATTTGCGTGTTTGGTACACAATATTACTAGCATATTGAACAAGATTTTAGCTTCTTCACAAGTACTGCCCAATCCACTTTACACAAACATGCCAAGTGTGTCCAATTAAGGACGGGAGTTTCAATTTCTGAAATGCAAAATATTTTTACTTAAGAATTAAGAACTTTCGCCTTATGTACCAATACTTCCTAAATCTTCACAGTAAACAATAGATATCAATAAAACTTCACCATGCAACTAATCATCCACTCAGTTGCTTTCATGGATAAGATGAGAGGTTATGAACCACAAAATGATTTTAGAGCACCACCATGCTTTTGAATGGCTAAATGGCTCATTCTACTAACTTTGAACTAACTTCATTATAAGATTTAAAGGGAAGTAACGTGGTAAAAATTTCTTAAATCATCAAAAGCTGCTAGTAAACCATGAAGCCTATTAGAACAAATTTGCATCATGGCCCAAAAAAATGCAGCTCAACTGTAATTATAAAATTTCATTTGAAAGCTTTCTCATCATTACACATAAGTCGCACAAGAAATGGCTTTGTGGATAGTGTAAGAACTGAATAAAATAATTTAATTTTATACGAACTTTTGATAGATGTGGCGACAGTCCAAGCCTAGTGCCAAAAAAAAAAAAGGTAGCCTAGGCTGGTGAACAACTAAACCATGCTCTGCAAATAGCTGGTGAAAAAATAAATGAAGAAGAGTAAACAACCTCCACGCCCAACAAATTTTCTTTACTAGCCTCAACTATTATAATTCTACAACACAATCATTATTAAGCATTCAATCAATACATTACTCAATGATGGTTATTAGATTTAATCATCACAAAAAGGAAATTAATTTTCCTTTGAAGATTAAACCAAAGTGAATAATGGATCTTAGATCACCGATCATTGGATGTTTTTTAAATCCTCACACATAAAGGCAGGGACGAACCCAGCATTGAAGTTCAGCCCGGGCGGATGTTGATCGGTCAACGTCGACAATCAGCGATCGTAAATCCCAATTCCCAAATGGCAAATGAGCCAAAATCCAAATCACAAATCACAACTCAATCACCCTAAACACTAAATTAAAATTCGTAATTCAAAATTTCAAACAATATTATAGTGCAAGTGTGCAACACATAAATCAGTAATGCTTAGCAGTTAGCAATGCTTTAATTCAAGCATGAAGCAACACATACATTAATAGATCAACCACAAGAACATCAATGTGACAATGTCTACTTTAAAATACTCAAACCATAAATGAAAACATTGGGCTTCAATTCAATGCCCTCAGATTCAACTCAGTAAAGGGGAAAACAATCCAAGAGTAAGAGCAAACAAGAAAAGACAAATGACACAACCATTTGGTACTCAATAATAATTAATAACTATGATAAAACTAATCCCCCACACTCCACAGGCCACAAAAACATATTCAATAGAAGAACCAAACCAAGTATTGAAGTATACCTAACCTGGCTATCGTTTATCAACCTGGGGTTGAGTGAATTCTTCTGCTGTCACAGACGGAGACGGTTGTGGTTGGACCGGTGGTGGATGAATGGCGATTCACCCACTGGCGGTCCGGCAGGTGGCAGTAATGCAATGGGCAAGAAGTTGAGAGATTGGAGAAGGTGAAAATTGGGAATTTGGGGATTGATTTCTATTGAATTGAAGGGATAATGGGATTTGGGTTGGGCCAATTTCAAAACCAAAAAAAAAAAAAAATGAATNAAAAAAAAAAAAAGGTCAATGGGGGATTGAAGGAGACGAACCAGGTAGTTGCGCCGACGAAGTACTCCTCTTCGACAGTCCCGTGGAGCCCAGCACGCGAGGCCGCGCCCCCTTGCCGGGTGCTGGGTCCGTCCCTACATAAATGTGAAATGATAACCTTGAAGGAGTTTTTAATGGCCTAACAAAATGCTTCATCCCTTAGATCTTCTCATCCGTTCTCCTTAGATACCTCCCTCTTTGGGAAATATGAAAATGTGGCTAACCCTAAAACTTGAGAAATGTGCCCACAAAGGGCATATTTATAATACTCAACTAAGGTTTTATGATTGCACAAATTTCCTTGGGCTTTATTGTAGTAGACCAATAAAGTCACACCTTTAGTAGAGCTAAGAGAGAGACCTAAACGGACTCACAAGACTTAAACTCCAATAGATGTTTCTAATTTGGTCAACTCTTGACCAATTGAGATATATCTATTAATCCCGGCTTATTCTACCAAAAACTCCAAATTGCACTCTCGAGTTGAGCGATAGTTATGAAAGCAAATTATGATCCGATAACAATATCCTCTGATTAACACTCCACAAGTCAACCCTAATTTGACTGTCAATATGTTGAAATCGAAAAAATGACCATTTTGCCCTTCAACATGTATTGCCCTCTTAAGTGCCATTTTCATAAGGCTAATTCGTTGTAATTAAATCACAAAGTAGAGTCCAATGATCACATCGTCGGACTATTGAGCTTAGGTTCAATTGTCTTTTCAAAAACACCTTATAGGGTGATGATCGTCTCATCATGATGATTAACAGATTCTACTATAGCAAGTATATGATCTCTAACTATTTCGGCCCAATTCTCAAGGCACCGAGATCAATCTTCTAATTAAGACTTCAAAAAACATGAACTAGCAATCAAATGTACATTAATCGCTCAGGATTTAAATGACTTGTTTGATAATCGAGTAGAGTTTCATTCCGAGCGGTCACAAATGAGCCATCTACATGGTCATGTTCAATGTGCATCAAAAACACATTATTGTTCTTATTCCTAAATCTAGGCAAATCTCAATAAAAACAATGCAATCTTATCAACATAAAGATTCCAACTTTATGTACCGATTGTGAATGACATATTTTGATCACGTCACGAATTGTGTCTCACTATACCCGAACCATCGAGTATACAATTTGTGACATCCTATGATCATAGAACCTTCAAATTATAACATGTGAATAATCGAACATTAATTCATAATGTCGATTTACAAAATACTACTCAAAAGGGCATCTAACTAACACTCAAATTAGCAGACCCTCATGCAAACAATAGATACCAATACCACACGTAAAATTCCAGTGAACAACATCTGGAGACAAGGAGTTGTGATTTTCCAATATAGGTTAGAAATGATTCCGTAGGAATTTGACTACACAGAGTTAAACTTGGGGCACCGATTCAGAATTGATGAGAAGAAATAATTGGATCCAATTTTATTGGAACCATTTCCAGTTCTGCCAACAGAGTTTCAATTTTCACCAATTATATGCACCCAAAACAGCCTTCAATCCAAATTTATTGGAATCATATCTAGTTCTGCCGACAAAGTTTCAATTTTCACCAATTGTATCCACCCAAAACAGCCTTCTACATAACTACTCAGAAGATAAAACAAAAGTATGCATAATTCATCAAAACCAAGAAAAATAGAAACTACAAAAAATGGGGGAAAATAAGTCTAAACCTTAGTAGTCAGCTGGAAGTCGCCCATTTTCCACAACCCTTTCCTCACATGTTTATCACACTCGCAAATCCTTCTCAGAACCGCCAGCATCAAACCGATTGCCAAATCGGCCACATCCTCAGTCAATACATCGGGAGTGTTAGTAACTCTAATACCCTTTTCCTTACATTTGTTCAAATCAATCTTATCAAGGCCCACGCTAAAACTCGACACGATTTCAAGTTTGGGCAAGGCATCGATCAGCTCAGCATCCGCACCGGCCGTCGCATTTCCCACCACTGCTCGGATTGACTCGGCGTGTGTTTTCAAGAATTCTTGTCTGGATGGCTGGGCCCAGAATCTGAAGAGCCTAAAACGCTTGTCGAGCTCTTGTTCTAAGTAAAGGGACATTGGGCATGCCATTAAAACTCCGATGGAGGCGTCCATTTTTTCCGCTGGAGGAAGTTGGTTATGGTGGGACGAGGAATTTTTTGGTAGAGAAATTAGGTTCAGAATTTGCGGTTATTATGGCAAAGCAGACACGACCGCGACTTGCATACAAGTAGAAGTAATTTTTTTTTTTCCTATTTTTACTTTAAAATAATATAATTACTTATTTTAAAAATAATTTTTACTTTTACAATCAAAATAATTGATTTTTGTTTTTTTTTTCTTAAATTTTGATCCATGAAAAGAAATATTTTGATTAGCTAAACATGTTCTAAAGTGCCTAATGTACTCTTGACGACTTGTGCAGCCCAAATACGGGCAGAGCGCATGCATAACTCTTCTAATCAATCTAAGCACGTTAAACATTTTCACTTAAAAATCGTTAAAGATTTAATCACTTCACCCAATAATATTTTTAGCAAACTAATCATAAATTGTTGTTGAACAAAATAATTTATAATTGAATAAATGAATTTTTATTTCCTTATTCAATTTGATTTTTCACTAGATCTTCTCTAATATTCAATATAATTTTTATTTATTTAAATTGAAATCAAAGCTTTTCAATTTTCTACATGTGGAGAATCGAGGAACATGACTTACCAATTTTCTTACATGTGGAGAACCAAGAACCGGACGGAACAGAAAAAATTTAGAAAATCCATGAAGATAAACATAACTTCTTCATTCTGTCAATTCATTTCTGACCTGTCTTGTTTATTGATTCTCATACATACATCCCATTTTCCCCTATACATTTCACAATCCAAGAAACTAAGGCAATTTTTACACCAATCTCATTTGTTTTTCCTTCTGCAAAAAAATTATTTGGTTTTCCTTTTCTCCATTTCCATCACATTCTTGAAGGAAAATCGTTTTTTCTTGATCATTGACGCATTTTAAATTCTTTCCTAGATACCACATTCATTAGAGAGATATACGACCTCTGTCTGTGTTGTATAACCCTTTAGATCTTTCGAGGAACATTTTGTTTGAATCGGAAAATGGTTCGATCATTTAAGGAAGAAAAATAATTCTATTATTGTGTAAGATAAAGAATTCTTGCATCATCAGATTTCCTCTATATGATCAGAAAATGGAGCAACAAAAACTTGGGTGGCCTCTTAACCGTTTGGAAAGTACCAAGTTGCATTTCTCCAATGATGGAAATGCACCGAATCCTCGTACGATAGATAGACAACATTCAGGCAAGACGTTCTTTTCTTATGTATATTTCGTCTTACTTATTAATTATTGGCTGCACGAACTTGGCGAAAATGTTATAAAATGCCATTCACCGTAACCTCATTTTTCACCCAAGTTTGATGCCGGCTATGAAAATCATAGGCGGATTAAAGAACAATAAACCCTTTTTTATGTCTTTCGACATGATATATCAGAAACACGAACAGATTGTTCCCAATTGATCGAAAATTTTGGTTATACACAATAGAAATTGTATCTGATTATTAATTTGGCTATATTTTAGATATGGAGCAAATGAAGGAAAAGTTTGCAAAGTTGCTTCTTGGTGAGGATATGTCTGGTGGGGGAAAGGGTGTTTCATCAGCCTTGGCATTGTCAAATGCTATTACAAACTTAGCAGGTATCTGATTTTTCATTTCTAACACAATATCATATTTGTCGTTGAGTCAAACCACCGTGTCTAAAGGTTTACGTGCAGTTAAAACTCATTTTTCATCAAAAGCACGAGATATTGAATTTTTCATAAACAGGTAGCAAAAAATCTGGAATACATGATTTTTGTCACCTTGATGCCATGTTTATTAAACTAATTCATCTAAAAGTTTAAACTTATTTAGAAATATTTAGTCCCCGTTTGGCCTCATTTTCCTAAATTCATTTTTTTTCAAACTCATTTTCAACCACATATTTCATAGAACCCACGACTTTTATCAAAATCTACTAAAAATTTGATTTTATCTAAACCGAGCAGGGGCATAATTTTCAGTACGCCTCCTCAAGTTAAAAGCTTGAATGTGCATATTTTTATAATAAAAAATAGTGACGATAGCTTAAATCAAGATTTTTCGACGTGTTCAATGATTTGATAACACAAACTTTCTTTGGCTTCCTTTATCCAGCTTCTGCATTTGGAGAACAAAAGAAATTAGAGCCCATGGCACCAGAGACCAAAACAAGATGGAGAAAGGAGATTGATTGGCTCCTATCTGTCACGGATCATATTGTTGAATTTGTTCCTTCTAAGCAAGTCTCAAAAGATGGAATATATATGGATGTAAGTTAATTTCTTATTACATTTGGCTCTAGCCTTTTTGGATGTTCGTGTACAAGGTTTAAAACATTGTTAGTCACCAAACTTTTAACGTTGTTTCACTTTGATACGGAACCCTTCTTTTTCTCAAGTTAGTCGCCAAACTTTAATGTTTGTTTCAATAGCGTAAATCGAACAATGAAAGTTCAGCACCTATTTGAACTTTTCAAGGCTGCGAAAAAGAATTCATATATTTGACCCCAAATTCAAAGGGACCATATGTTTCATCAATCTTTATATATTAACAAGAGCAAGAGTTTCATTCTCTACCAGATTATGACAACAAGGCAAAGATCTGATCTTCACATTAACATCCCTGGCCTACGCAAGCTCGACGCAATGCTCCTTGTAAGTGCGCATATCTCCTTGTTCTAGATTAATTTGTGACTTTCATTGCATGTTTAATACATAGTATTGGAAATGATCAAACCCTATTGAGGAACATATCCTTGAAGTTCGAGAATAATAATTTATACTTCATTGTGCTTATGTAAACAGGAGTGCCTGGAAAACTTCAAAGAGCAAAGTGAGTTTTACTACACAAAATCAAAAGATGATGATACAAGGAATGATGATAAATGGTGGATTCCTACTCCTAAGGTTCCCCAAAATGGCTTGTCTGATTCTACAAGAAAATGGATGCAGAAGCAGAAGGATTCTGTAAACCAAGTGCTTAAAGCAGCTATGGCTATAAATGCACAAGTACTGTCAGAAATGGAAATTCCAGAAAGCTACATAGAGTCGCTTCCCAAGGTACGATGAACCTAGAAAAGTATCCAGTGTTTCTTTTTTTTTTTGGGTCAAAATAATGATCGTTTATTGACCTTTCAGCAAAATTTCATGTTAGTTCATTCCATATAACTTCTAGCAATTTAAGCATCCTGCCCATATTCATAAGTTTTACTTTTACTGAAATGTTGGCGTGACAACCTAATTGGCAAATAATTGGACTCAAATATTACCTTTTTCGGTTAGTCAAACTAATAAAATGTACAGTCACTAAACTGTAACTAAATTCAAGTTCAGAGACCAACTTGGAAAAAATGAGTTTAAGTGACCATAAAATTTAGCTTTACCCATCCATTTTTTTTTCACAAAAACAAATTTTTGGTAGCTTGACTGATGTTTTTATGGATAGAACGGGAGAGCAAGTCTGGGAGACTCAATTTACAAGAGCATTACAGACGATTACTTCGATCCCGACTATTTTCTGTCCACTATAGACTTGTCATCGGAACATAAAATTCTTGACCTCAAAAATAGGATCGAGGCATCCGTGGTTATATGGAAACGGAAAATGAATGCTAAAGACAGCAAGTCTTCGTGGAGTTCGGGTGTGAGTTTGGAGAAGAGAGAAATTTTGGAAGAAAGAGCAGAAACTATTTTGCTTCTTCTTAAGCACAGGTTCCCTGGACTCCCTCAGTCAAGTTTAGACATCAGCAAAATCCAATACAACAGAGTAAGAAATGCTTATTTCAACCTTAAACTTGCTCTTGTTAAGCATCGTTTGAGTTTTCTTTTTCAATTTCCTTGCCGTGTTAGACTATGTGGAGCTTAATCATATTGTATGCTAATCCCGTGGACTAAGAACCAACCAAATATTCCTACATAAGCATAGGATTTTTAGGGAGACTTTATTTTTGTGTGCAAGCAAGGTGTAAGAGCTTTGCTCGTTTTCTGCTTACTTTTCGGATTATTATTGCTCGCAGAACTAGGGGTTAGTGCCTAATCCGCAACACTATAAAAATTGTTTGCAAAAATTCATTTCGATTAAGTCACAAGAATTAGTACGTTGATGTTTTATTTGGTTTTTTCAGGATGTGGGACAAGCTATTTTGGAAAGCTATTCAAGAATAATAGAAAGCTTGGCGTATACTGTCTTGTCAAGAATCGAAGATGTTACATATGCTGATAATCTTGCTCGAAATCAATCAAATGGGGAAAAAAAGACTAAACTTGCATGCGCTAAAGAAGAACTCGAGAAACAAAATTCAACAGACACACCAACTTCGATGACGTTGTTGGATTTTATGGGTTGGAATTTAGATCGAGGTGACACTGATGCAAAAAATGATTTTAAGGATGATGTTTGCAAAGAGGTCGATATGCACCTGAGCAAACCACCTAACGTCGTGACAAACAAGAAAATATCCTACATAGAGAGGCTAGAGAACTTAGGGGGAGCAAGAAGTCCAACAGCACGCCATTAACTAAATTCTTAACTGGAAAATTAGTGCATGTTTGGCACACAAAACTCGATGAGAAAGTTTTAGCTTGTTTTCTTTTTCAGTATTATCCTGTTCAATCCTTCCAGATGAACATGCTACAAATTGGTCGAACCGTAGAGGATTATATATCAGATTATTGCTCTCCTCCTGTAAATAGAGAGAATTGGTAGGGTCTCACTTCTGAAGTCCCTTAGTAGTAGAAGTCATATCGATGTTGTACTGGATTATTATTTAGACTTTTTTCTCTCTTCTGGAAAATGATACTAGCTCATTGTACTAGGAATGTTGTTTTCTGTTGTCTGTCACAACATATTTACCTGTGACAATATTAAATACCAGATAGAGGGCTAACCCAGGCCTTGCAGGATTACGCCTCTAAGGTCTATGTGGAGCCAAATTATCATATTCATTTGCCCTCTCGACTATGAATAAACCAGGTTGCAATTAATGCATCTTCACAAATTTGAAGCCTGATATTCACATGAAGCAAAATTTGAAACGGGATCTTATTGCATGTAGTTATTTGAAACTAGCGTTCAAAGGTTCAATCACCCAAGTCGAAGTGCGTGATCATACAAATCCCAAATCCCTTCCTCTCTATCTCCACAATGCGAGTTTTCGAGTTCACAATGTTACGGATTTAGATTACGGTGTTAGCTTAATGTTAATCGCTCATGTGCTAAAGAATTAATGCCCAGAAGGAAATAAAAGTATACTCAAAATATCCTACAAACTGTACATAAATATATGTCATAGTCGTGTACAATCCAACTTAACAAACATGTCGATGTTAAATGACAATAAATCAAATGCATCTTCTTCTCCTGCACATTGATGTAGTTGTCCAAAAGCTGTAGCTCATAGCTGAAGTAGAATCGACCCTATATTACCCATAATAAGCTCAGGAATCGACCCTGTTTCAAGAATACTCCTATTTTAACAAATTTGTTGGGGAATAAATAAATAGAATAGTGACTAAGTTGCAACAATATGTATAGATTGAGGAATAATAGTGCAACTTTTCCACGGAAAGAAGAGACAAAAATTAAGGCTCGTTTGGTAAAACACTCAAAACGTCAAAAATACGTTTTGAGTTTTATATTATAAATTTATCCTTGTTTTCAAAAATGTATTTTTGAAAATATTATATCAAAACGTTTTCAGTGTTTTACAAAACTGAAAACTTCTTCTAAACAGCAAACCGAACGTACCATTCTTCAATCTTCATCATTTTCTTCTCTTATCCCTCCTTCCAAACAAGTCTCTAACCTTTCCTCCAATTCTCCAATTCAAATCCCTCTCCCTCTCCCTCTCAACCCCATTTCTCCATGGCGGCGCCTTGTCTATCATCCGCTTCCTAATGACCTTTTCTGCCGTCACCCCTCCTCCGCCACTGCCTACGCCTACATTCCTCCCTGTTATCAGATCGATCAAATCCACGCAAGGCAGGGTTACACGTTCCTCCCACGACAAGACTATGACTGTGCAAGTTGAACGCCTTGCTCCACACCTAAAGTACAAGCGCCGTGTTAGGATGAAGAAGTTCAGCTTGAAAAGATCAGGCACATTATCAAGCTCAAGAATTTCTTGGCCGTCCGGGTTCCCAGTTGAGGCGGGCTGAAGACAAAAGACTCCAAATCTCCAGAGTTGGGGCTTCCACTGGAGTCTCAGCAGCCTGAGAGTTGAAGAGAAATTGAGGGACTTGGTGTTTTATTGTAAGTGGAATCATTATTTTTGAGTTCTTTATCTTTTTATTGTAATTAATGTTATACTGAAGATCTTTTTGTAAATGTAATGTAATGATGGTTTTACGTTCCAGTTTAATCTTTTCTTGGAATCTGTTTGTTTATTGAAGTTATTAGCATTGTTGCATATTTCTAGAATTCTCTATACTAACTTGGGAAACAAGAAAAATTTAGAGGTCATAAGAATTATCTAGAATTTCTCAAGGACCAAGTAATCTAAAATAATTAAAAAAATAAGAATTTTCTAGATGCAAGCCACCGACTGTTGAATGCTATAAGTAGGGGTTGTCACTTCAATTGTAGTGAATAGAAGTCTACTAGGGATTCGGGCTTAATCCGCAACACTATAAAAATTGATTGCAAATTTATTTCGATTAAGTAATTAGAATTCGTCCTTCGATGTTTTATTTAGTCTTTTCAGGATGTGGGACAAGTTGTTCTGGAAAACTATTCAAGAATAATAGAAAGCTTGGAGTATACCGTCTTGTCAAGAATTGAAGATGTTACATATGCCGATAATCTTGCTCAGAATCAATCAAATGGGGAAAAAAGACTAAACTTGCATGTGCTGAAAAAGAGCTTGAGAAACAAAACTCAGCAGAGACACCTACTTCGATGACAATGTTGGAATTTATGGGTCGGAGTTTAGATCGGGGCAACACTGATGTAAATAATGATTTTAAGGATGATATTTCCAAAGAGGTCGATATGCCCCCAAGCAAACCACCTAACGTAGTGAGAAACAAGAAAATATCCTGCATAGAGAGGCCAGAGAACTTAGGGGGAGCAAGAAGTCCAACAGCACGCCATCAACTGATTCCTTAACAGAAAATTAGTTTGTGTCTGGTACTTAGAACTCAATGAAAAAGTTTTAGCTCGTTTTTCTTTTTCAGTATTATCCGGTCCAATCCTTCTAGATGAACATGTTACAAATTGGTCAAACCGTAGAGGATTATATCTCAAATTATTGCTCTTTCTCCTGTAAATAGAAAGAATTGGTAGGGTATCGCTTCTGAAGTCCCTTGGTAGAAGAAGTCTTATCAATTCTGTACTGGATTATCAATTGGTAGGGTATCAATTCCTAGTACAATGAGTCTAACTCATTGTACTAGGAATGTTTTTTTTTGTTGTCCGTCATAACATTTTTACATCTGATGATAATCTGCATTTGTCATATGGTCTGTGCCTCTCTTGCATATCAGTTCACTTACGTAGACGGAGAGCCTTACAAAAGGCATCTTGGACCCGCCTTCAAAAGTGGGAAGTTTATTGATGGTTTTCATCCCTCACTCTCGTATAGGTGAACTTGGTTCATTCAATTCTTAGGGATAACAAGGATCCATTGATTATATACCAGATAAAGGCTTAAACTAGGCCTTGTCCGATTATGCCTTAAGGTCTATGCGGAGCCTAATTATCATATTCATTTGCCCTCTCTACTCTAAATCAATAAACCTAGATGAGATTAATGCATCTTCAGAAATTTCAAGCATGATATTCACATAGAGCATAATTTCACACGGAATCTTATTGCATATGGTTATTTGAAACTAGCATTCAAAGCCTCAATCACACTAGTCGTAGTGGCATGATAATACAAATCCCTAATCCTTTCCTCTCTATCTCCGCGACATGAGTTTTTTAGTTCACAGTGTTACGGATTTAGATCACATCGTTAGTAGGGATGATAACGGGACGGGGCAGGGCAGGTTGGGGTCGAGGAAACCTCCCCCGCCCCACTAGGCAATTTTTCACCTCGTCCTCTCCCCGTTACCCGTTAAGGCAAGGCAGGCCGGGCCGGGGCTCTGCCCTGTTTACTACCTTTTTTATTTATTTGAAGTTTTTTATAATTCATTTTATTGTCCACATTCATTAAAATGAAATAATAATATATTTTTAAATTTTAAATTTATTTTTAAAAGTTAAATTATTCAAATATTTGGTAAACTAATGTTTTTATTGTTTGTCATATTTTTTAGATAATCTTAGTTGCCATTTTCTATTGAATCATGTTACAAGTACATTAAGTTTCACATCAAGTTTTACATTGTTCCATGCGGCGCTATCACATTGGACAGTTTTTGAATTTAACACACTTTCCCTCCAAATCGTTTTTGAATTTACACACAATGTCAAACTTCATGTAAAGCAAAGAATGTACAAATAGCATTATACTTTTCTATTAGAACTAAAGAAATTTTGTGAAATTTTTCATGTAAATTGAATTAAAAAAAAATTTAACGAGCAGGGCGAAGTACTCATTATCCGAATACCCGATTAAGTGGGTAATCCCCGCCTCGTTCAGAACAGGGCCCGCGGGTATCGGGTTTGTCGAGTTTTTTTCTATCCCTAATCATTAGCTTAATGTTAATCACTTATGCGCTAAAGAATTAAAGCCCATAAGGAAATAAAAGTATACTCATTATAACCAGAAAACATCTTATATAAATATGTGATGTAGTCATGTCCAATCTAACTTAACAAATATATCGATGTGAAACGACAATAAATCAAAGGCATCTTCTTCTCCTGCATAGTTTGTCCAAAAGGTGTAGCTCATAGCAGAAGTAGGATTCCCAATATAACCCAGAATAAGCTCGAGAATTAACCCCATTTCAAGAATACTCCTATTTTAACAAATTGGTAGGGGAATAAATAAATAGAATGGTGTATAGATTGAGGAATAGTAGTGCACTTTTCCACAGAAGAAGAGAGACAAAAACTTATTCATCTATCTTCTCCTTTTATCCAAAACCCTCAGTCCAAACAAAAATGTCTCTGACCTCTCCCCCAATTCTCCAATTCAAATCCCTCTCAACCCCATTTCTCCATGGTGGCGCCTTGTCTATCTTCCGCCTCCCAAAGACCCTTTCTACCGCCATCCCTCCTCTGCCACCGCCTACTACTAGATTCCTCCCTGTTATCAGAGCAATGAAATCAATGCAAGGCAGGGTTACTTGTTCCTCCCACGACAAGACCGTGACTGTGCAAGTTGTACGCCTTGCTCCACACCCAAAGTACAAGCGCCGTGTTAGGATGAAGAAGAAGTACCAAGCTCACGATCCATTGAACAAGTTCAGTGTTGGGGATGCTGTTCAGCTTGAAAAAATCAGGCCCATTAGCAAGCTCAAGACTTTCTTGGCTGTCCCGGTTCCCAGTCGAGGTGGGCCGAAGGCAAAAGACTCCGAATCGCAGGAGTTGTGGCTTCCACTGGAGTCTCAACAGCCCGAGAGTTGAATAAAAATTGAGGGACTTGGTGTTTAATTGTAAGTGGAATCTTTATTTTTGAGTTCTTAATCTATTTATTGTAATGAATGTTATACTGAAGATATTTTTGTTAATGTAATGTAATGATGGTTTTATGTTTCAGTTTTAATCTTTTCTGGAATCTGTTTGTTTATTGAATTGTTGAATTTTAGGCTAATAACTTGTTTGCAGAAATTGCAAATAGAGAAGCATTTTGTTCAATTGTTGATGTAAAGGGGTAGAATAAGTAGATACTCCTCTTATGCACTTAATGTTATTTTAATTGTTTATTAGAGGAGTTACACAGTTCTAATCTTGAGGGGTTGTCCAATTGGTCAGGCATTGGAGTTTGCTTCCCAATGGTCCTTAGTTCGAATCATCTCAAGGCTACTGATGTGAGTACCTGACCGTAAACTTCAGGGATTAGTCAGTGAGGGAGTCTTAACATGTCCTGCAAGACATCAATCTTGAATTCTGATTACTTTTTATAATTTGATTATTGTTTTTGTCTTTGATCGATGTGTGATTTAACCGTAATAGAGATGTAGCGATAGAAGAATTCTTTGAGGAGTATCAACAGACAATGAAAACAATAACATAATGTCTTCTATCTTGCACATTTTATTCTGCGTAAAAGTTTCTTCGGTATGCAAGGCGAGTTACCAAACTAGAACATACCTTAGGCAACTGACTTTTGCTTGCATAAATTGGCTTTCTTGGCTGCCGAGCTGATATTGCCCTCGCGTTGAGGTGGCCATCTTGTCTCCCAAGCTGAGTTGGTTTTTACATCAATGTGGCCAACACTTTACTTCCCAGTTTCAAAGGATTGTGAGCTCAGCTCATTTTTGCCTCTGGCTGGAAAGTACACGCACTGGGGCATTACCTATCTCCAGTTGCCTCTCTTTGATTTCCTAGCTTTGAAGGGTTATGAGTTCGATTCACTTGTATGGCTTAATTCGGTTATGATTACAAAATTATTTACTGTCTACGAATTAAAAAGCCATATCGTTTTCTGAGCATGAAGGTTTGGTTTTTCTTGCCCCTGCTACTTTAGTAGCAGATAGTAATGTAAGTTCGGGTGAACAAAAAAGTGAATTTCTATTTTAAGCTAGTTAAAGGGTTGCAGTAGCAGATAGTAATGTAAGTTCGGGTGAACAAAAAAATGAATTTCTATTTTAAGCTAGTTAAAGGGTTGCAGTGTTCATCTGTTACCATGTTTCTTTGTTTAAAAACAATATGTATTTTTTACATATTGCAGTGTTCATCTGTTACCATGTTTCTTTGTTTAAAAACAATATATATTTTTTACATCACAAATGCATTATATTTGTGTATTGCTCCTTTTCTGTTCAGAACCATTTGGCAATCTTTCACCCCTTGCTTCTTATCATCCTTCTATTTAGAATTGCTATTTTTGTACATGATTGTACTAGCTCATTGATCAATCGCCTCTGAACTTCGTAATATTTTGCAATACTTGTTTGTACGGAGGAGGTTTGTGATAATGCTTCACATACAGCAAGAAGTTAACAATGATATTCCTTATATTGTCTAGTCTTGTCGACCGGTATTGCCTACTACAAATCGAGGACACGTACACATATATACTTCCTAACGGGTATTCATAGAATTGTCTTCTGGTTCAAAATAACAATACAATGGTCACAATTCTTAGTTGATGAAAAGTAGTCATCATTCTTCACACTGCATGATTCTCTTTATGTTCTGCAATGTACATGATATAAGGGTGTTAACTGAATCTATGGATTCCATAGAAAGCTTTGCTGTTAGAGAATTGCTAGCTAGGATTTGAAATGCAATAGTCAGCAAGGATCCTCCTTCTGTGCTCTTTTCCTCCGGCCTAGAAGTGATAACCGAAGATCGAGATTCTATCCCATCAGGGAGAATCGAAAACCCTGAAGATAAAACAGCGATGTTGCTGGAATCACAACCCGTTATCACGGATTGCATGCCATTTACGTCCACAGGTGCAAAGACGACCATGGATTCGTATGCATTCTTGCAGCTATCTTGGAGTGTCCACATATTCTGGTCTTTCGTCTTCATTGCCTGAATTCATGACATAAAAACTCAAATTAAGACAATGATTTTGTCTATTAAGGTTTGTGTTACTATGTTTTTCTAGGAGTAGACTGGACTCACTTGGATAGTAACTGCATTTCCTTTATCCTGCCCTTTAGCCAAGTTTCCAATGCATTGCACTGGACTTCCATTTGACATAATGTCCCACTAAAATTTATACAAAGAAATTCAAAAAAACTCAATTAGATGTGAATGATGAAAAATGTGACATGACAATCTAATTATTTGCGAGCTAGGCTACCAAGTCGGCTTTTCAACTAGTCAAACTAATGAATATGGATTGAATGACATTAATTCCAATCGCACATATATAACTACTACTCATTATTATCCACACATTTCGTGAAATTCATTATTATTCCTCTTTATAAGTTTCCCAAACAGTGACTAACATCGAAGGAACGGGAACTTAGCCCCTATTTGGTATGAATTAAAATTAAATTTTTAGTAGATTTTGATAGAAGATGAAATGTATGGTTGAAAAGTTGTGGGACTCATGAAATATGTGATTGAAATTAATTATTTAGTTTGAATTAAATTAAAATCTAGATTTTAATTCTTACCAAACAAAGGCTTAAGGTGAACTTACAAACCTCGTTACGGTGGTTTTCATCTCGTAAGAAGTCGAACAAGACGTGGTCAGAGATGGGCAACCATACGGACGAAACTGCGCACAAGATCACCCCAAGAGGTTCTCCTGGATCGTTTATATTTTTCCTAGAAGCCACTCTTATGTCATCGCCAGTTTTACTGGGAATCTTGCTCCATGTATTGTAGCTAGATGCACCAACTGCTCGACAAAAACTCCAAGTCATTCTTTGTGCCAATTTTAATATACTTTTCCTTCCAGCAGTTGTGGCAATTCCTGTAAAGTTTCATACATAAAATTCTGCTAACATTGGACAAATCTGACCGTAAAAAAACAGTGGACTATAAGATTATTACCACTTGAATCCTTTATGGGAACGTTTGTTGCCATGAAGAACACAAGTCTCTCGCATTGCTGTTGCAGTGTTGCAATCCAATGCTTTGCACCAAATGCCAGACCACTGTTAACTATTGTGCGATAAAGGGAATGAACGGTGGTTTTTTGGCACTCCAGGTGTTCGACCCAAGTCACCTGAAAACACCCATGGAAGAGTAAGCAATCTATATACTTGCATGTTGTAAGATTTATTTTTATTTTTTACGAGTGTATGTTGGGTATTCTATACTTGTATCAGGTCACCCTAATATTCCTACTATATGTAAGGGTCAATTTTATGTGCATGAGAGGAGAGAGAAAACTTGTACTCTTTTATGCAACAATAAGCGAACATAACTCGCAAACAGAGAGTGAACCTTGTTTGTTTCTAAGTTAATTCAGTTTATTACGACACTCGTAATAAAGGATTAGGGCCTATGCAGCAAAACGTTCGATAATAGATAGAAGATTGATGCTCTAATTATAAGCAATGATACAGAAACACACTGAAAGCAATCTCTGAAGTACAACCTTACAGTGGCCATTTGACGTATCTTGTATGATGCAACCAGACGGGTGTTTCCTGCATTTTGCTAGAGACGCATCGATATTATCTTCAATTTTGTCGATCGAGACGTCGATAATTGCCCACTGATCAGCACTTAGTTGTTTGCAGCATCTGACAAAATACACTTCTCTGGTAGCCACCACAGGAGTCAGCATTTGCAATTCTGCAAACATCTAAACGAAACAGAAACTTGAAATGTTATAACATACCCCAATATTGTAAGAATCTGTTAAAGGAACAAAACTTCTTTGAAACTTGATCTACAATGTCTGTTTTCAGGAGGATTCTTAAAATTTACGAAAAAAGAAAACCAAATCAGAGACAATCAACATAAAAATGGACCAAAAAAATCTTACCAACTGAACTGCACCATCTCGGTTAACACCTTCACCATTGCTGATAACATACAATGTAGCTGCCTTTGAGATCAAGCAAGGAAACAATTCTTTCCATTGATTCTACGGGGAAAAAAGAAAGAAAGAAAGCTCACATTCATGAATTCATCCATATTCGCCGTGAACTGTGTGAAGCCTAATGCCTAATCATACTGTTCAATTATATTCTCGATCACAGAATGTACCTCATATAATTGGATATTAGGTAGTCTATATATGTATTGGGCCACACTAATATTCCTACCGTACATAAAAGATTTTTTAGGGCAGTCCTTTCCTTTCTATGGAAAAATAAATAAATAAATAAAAAATCTTGGGATCCTTGGTACAAAGAGAGCATAAATCTTACCACATCCATAAAGCTCTGTATTAACCTTGGGAGGTCTACAAAGATAATTCCAGTTTCTCTTGAGGCCTCAATACATGTTTTAGGCTGCCCGATGCTGGAATTTTCAGTGGGGAATTCTTTCATATATGCATCATAATTAAGTATTTCCCGACCTGTTTCATAGCTGCGGATCCACAGTGGTTCGCTGGAAGTAGCCATCTTCTTGAGCTCGTCCTTCGCCTTTTCTACAGCTTCCATTATCCGTGAGGTTTCGAGCCCGAAAATGCCAGTGGAAAAATCTAATGGGCTTCGAATTCCTTGTTCATTTCCAGATGAGCACGAACTATTTGGTGATGCTCTCGGATTGCATTTCCCAACAGCAGTTCTAAGTTTTTTGAGCTGCAAGTATTCTTGATATAAGAACATGTGCATTTTATGTATGTTAACGAAGATTAATCTTGTACAGTACTGTTTAATCCATGTACGAAACTTGTCAAACCTCTTCTTTTAGTCTGGTATTTTCAATTCTTAGCTGTTGTTCTTCAGTAGCATCTTTACTAGAGGTAGAGAATCCACAGTTAAGACAGCAAGACTTTTTTATGGTCTCCCTTAAAACTTTATTTTCCTCTCGAATTTTTTCCATTTCTGTTTTCAACAAAGAATTTTCATGGCGCTCCTGTATAGCCTGCGGATATATAGTATCTTAAGGTAAAATCTCACATTGCCTAAATATGAAACAAAATGAACAGCCAGGTTTCAAGATTAGCGTTCTCAAATGAGCCACCATCTTGCGATTCGATGTCAGATGTATACCTTGATTTGTGTTCGGCGATTTTGAAACCAGAATTTGACTTGCCTAGGATGAAGCCCCAACTGCTTGCTCAGTTCTTGCCTTTGCTTCTCATCTGGATGGGGAGACTCTTTAAATAAGCTGCAAAAGGTTATGAAACTGAAGTTTTATACACATATACACACACAAACATATACATATAAGTCAATACATTCCAAAAATACACAATTCATCAGAAGCATTATAAGTAATTTCAATTTCACAGTACGGTCTTAAAGATGCTATATATAAAAAATTAACCAAGAATATTCAACAGGTTTTAACAAAATATTCTTGATGAACAAAGACTTAATCATCATTTTCTGTGTACAGTAAATGTGTCTACCCTATAACAGTTCAAGCTTTCAGACGAGGTGGAGTATACAAAAATCAGAGAGTCAGTTCACGAGTCACCCCTTTCTTCTAAATATGGTGCACCTATGAATCTGTTACTGCGAATGAGGGGCATGACGGGGTGTTGAACACAAGTGAATTTTTGAATATGCAGTATTAGACACGATTTGACAGTATAATAAACATGACTTAAAGCTACTCAATTTCCAAAAAAGTTGCAGAAAAACATACGCCTCCATTTCTCTAATTTGCTGAGCAGTGTGTCTGTGATATTTCTTTCTCTTCTTCTTTTTATGAGTGTCTTCATCTTCTTCATCACCATGCTCTCCTTCTGCTTCATAATCATCTTCTGAGCGCGATTTCACAGGGCCCGAGTTCTCACTGCTTATTTCTACCGTTTCTTCTCTCCGGCCACCATAACCACCACTTTCTCTATCTCCCCCCTCCACTTCCACCGCTGTAGCCTTCGTAGCTCCGCCACCCCGGAAAATCCCAGCCTAACAAAATCAATTATTAGCAAATATATAAATCGAACATGGCTAAACATTCAAGGGAAAAAAAACCAGAGGGGGGAAAAGTACAAGACTGAGAGAGAGAGCTGGTGTAGCAAGAAAATCTTTGGTATGAGAAAATGGAGGATTCGACATGTCTACAACTCCCATGGCAGTTCGTGTTTTTTCCTTGAAATATTAATTGGGTATTCCTCGGAGGTAATTATGGTTTTGCGGTTGTGCTCTAGCCTCTATGTGTACAAGTGTATGTCCCTGCATGTGTGTGTATATGTGTGTGAAAGAGATGGTGGGTTGGGGTGGGGTGGGGTCATCCTAATTAAGAGGCATTGAAGAGGAGTACTAGGAGAAAGGCGGGTGGGGGGTGTCTATAGGGGTGTTAAAGTGACCCCAGTTAGCAAGCTGTGAGCACAAGTCGAACTAAGGCTTTCTTGTGCGAGTCACTTATTGATTCACACGAGTTGGCTCGTTTGCTCATATTTGAATTGGTTAGTCATAATTAGTAAAATTTGTCATTTCAACAAAATATGTACAAATTGCGAGCCTTACAAGAGATGAGTGGAGCTACACTTTGATTGATTGAGTGAGTCGAATCGCCTAATAAGATCAGCAGAGCCTGACGGTACGTGAGCGGGAGACCCCATTTAACACCCCTAGGTGGCTGGTCGAAGTCGACGGTGAGATACATAGGTGGGGTGGGGTCAATACTTAGAAGCTATTTACAAAAAAAAAAACCATTAAACCCCCCCTATCATGCAGCTAAAAATCAAAATTTTAGTAGATTCTGATGAAAGTTGATATTTGTTAGTGTAAAGTTAATAAAAGTTGTGAATCCGATAAAATGTATGATTAAAATTAATTGTTGACTTTAACTTAATTTTTATCAAAATTTTAACACACTAAACATGAGCTAAATGTTAAGAAAAACGCATCTTCATAAAGTTAAACATGTGAGGGTTAAATGATGACTTAACATAAATTTGAACAAATCTCATCATTGGGACTGATTGTACAACTATTACGAAAGATTAAAGGTCGATTTACTATTTTTCAAAAGTTAGAGACCAATTGATTACTAGGTCAGTATAGTAGGAGTCAGCAGTGCAATTTTGTTTTAGTTAAAGTGTCGCTTGAGGGTGGCCTGCGTTTACTTTTATGGTCTAACAAAGGACAAATAAGTTTTGATGCATTAATGACAATGTTGACAAATCCTCAGAGCCTGTTAATTAGAAAAGGCCATTTTTCTTAATGGCATGCTTTTCTTCAAGCTTATGCTCTAATTCCCTTTTACCTCGGAAAGTTTTCGGTATACGGTCCTATTCATTCACATTCGACTGGATTCTACTATCCTCTTGCTTCTCTCTCTTAGCACCTCGGATATCGATAAGTTGTGAAATGAGTGGTTCGAAATTTGAAGTGTCGTGATTTAAATGGTGAACCCTTCCACTTGCGTGTATAAGATCGTCATATTAAATTTTTTTTCTTCGTTTATCGAAATATAATTTTGTATTGTTGAAAATTTGGAATGTCTATTAAAAAAAATATAGATGTTCGATATACAGCTAATTGAATATCAGATAAGAAAACTAATTGGTAATCGAGATATCATTACATGAGTATGTTTTTAAGTCTTGTAATACCTTGACAATCGGATGGTATATCTTTTGATGGGAGTTTTGAACAATAAAAAAACCTAGAGTTTCTATTATTGAGACTTGGTACATCCAAGATAAAAAGGTTACAAATCTAAATGGTGAATAGTAGAAATTTTAAGTAGAACACGTAGGGGTTGTTCTCTTCGTATTTTAATTTTTAGTTTTGAATTCATTTTGAGTTTTGTGTTTTAAGTGTCCATTTTGAGATTGTTGAAAATGTGTTCTTTTTGGCATTTTGAAAAATTGTTTTGAAAACACCCAAAACGCATTTTGAAAATTTTGATTTGATTATAACTGAAAACACTCAAAACGACAAAACGGCTTGAAAATGGTAAAGAGAACATGCCCTAATTGTTTCTACTCCTCCTCCAGTTCATATCGTTACGCCTTCCTCGCAGGTTGAAACTTCCTTAGNTTTTCGAAAACTGAAAACGACAAAGAAAACAGACCCTTAATTTTTCTAAGATTATTACTTTCCAAATCAAATCACCCTAGTACTTGAAACATAATATGCGCCGATGATGGATGCTATCTAGATATTGAAGGTGAAGTATTACGAGAAACAAAAGAATGTTAATTTCAATATTACTATTCATCACCAATGATGCTCACTATCAATTTATGTGAAAATAAATCCTCTCTAATAGATCGTCACATATAATATACGGTATTTATTCATATAAATCTCATTTGTTTGCAATATAAATTTAACCCATTTTTTGGGCTCCATTAAAATGAGATTTTAAATGAATTTTTTTCCTAAAATAGTGATTTTTTCCAGAATGCATAGTTAAAAAGTAAAGAAAAATTTTAGATTTACGCATAATATTATTTCATAAAAAAAATATATGTTCGAAAATGAGCTTTTCTTTAAAAAAAAAAAATAGAAAGTATTTTTTGAAAAAATAAAACCTAATCAGAGGCGTGAACAGTTGGTCCATGAATTCGAACAAGAATTTATTGACGCGATTGTGACATACATGAAAATGATTATTTATTTGTGCCCACGAGGGACATTATTTCTTGTTGCAATTACATCAAATTGGCGCATTCGAATATAATCGACCAATACTAAGGAATGAAAGTTAGTGGTCCAGCAAAAAGTAACGTATATGAAAATTACATCATTAGCCTTTGATTTATTATTTAGAATATTAAAAATAAATTTTTAATATATTTTGATAAAAATTGATGAATTGTGTAATTAACATTTTTAATTCCATGTTTGGCGTTGCTTAAAAAGTTGATATAAATTTAAGTTAAAATTAATAATTAATGTTAACAATACATTTTATGAGATCCACAGCTTTTCAATCACAATTTTAATCATTTTTTTTATCAAAATTTACTAAGAATATAATTTTAGCTACACCAAACAAGGGCTAAATGTATCACATCGATTACCAAATTTTCATTATAGTTAAGTAATCCGTCTTTAACTAGAGAAACTGTCAAAATTTGTGTCAAATAATTATGAGTGTCACAAGACAACTTGACGAAGTTTTGAACTATAATGAAAGGTTAACGACCAACCTTTTATTGAAATAATAGATTGAGGACTTAGCTGCAATTATCCCTTGATTTAGATAAGAACCAAACTTGACCTTATTATTTCATAAAAAGTTGGAGAAATTAAAATGCATGTGACAAAATGAATATGTGGTTGCATTGGCATCTCAGTGCGTCTGTATGCCATTTAAAAGGTTACAAACAAATGTGGAGCCATTATAAATTTGGCGTGTTATGGACCATTTTGGCACGTTAATTTGATTGTAGTCCATTCGATTCGATATGATATGATAATTGATCAATTTTATTTTATATCTTTTTTTCGATTTAATTATGATTAATACTGTTTACTTCGTCATATCTTTTGTGGGTATTGTGTCCAAAAATTGATTATTCAATTCGTACTCATTTCTTCCGCAACAAGGGAGGTAGACTACTTGTTTCGACTTCATATAGCTCATGCATGTATTGTTAGAGATAATACTAGTTGAAATACAGCAAAGTGCAGAAATAAAACTTATCGACTAATCGAGTCTCGTGACAACACGATATCCTAAAGAGAAATTGTCCGTCGATAACTGTTGCGACATCTTTGGACAATCACTTTCAGGATATAACGATCAAATAAATCAATTGTACAGCAATCACAAATGATTTTGAGAACTCTCAAGTGTACTTCAGAAAATATGTAAAATTGAGTATAATATTTTACTGAATAAGAAGATACAATTTCGTATTTGTCGTAAATTTCTAATGTCCTTATGTGTGTTTATATAGGCAGAAAAATGGTGTAACTATCTCTACCATGATGCGGTATAATTTGCACTTTTATGACTAGTGGTAATGGGTTGTTAATACTGGACAGTTAAAAATGGTCATATTTTACTGGCTAGTTAACCCATTAAAGACATTTTAATATAATGCGTGAGGTGTGACTCGAANGTGGGTTGAAAACAACAAAAACACGTTTTGGAAATTATGGCCAAATTTTAACTGAAAACACTCAATACGACATTTTTGTCGTTTTGTGTTTTCTTTATAAATTTTAAAGTCGTTTTCAAAAACGCGTTTTCGAAAATAGGAACCAGAACGCGTTTTCACTGTTTTGGAAAATCGAAAACAGAAAACGACTTGAAAACAGTAAAGAGAACAGGCCCTAACATTTTTAATTCCATGTTTGGCGTTGCTTAAAAAGTTGATATAATTTTAAGTTACAATTAATAATTAATTTTAACAACACATTTTATGAGATCCACAGCTTTTCAATCACAATTTTAATCATTTTTTATCAAAATTTACTAAGAAGGGCTAAATGTATCACATCGATTACCAAATTTTAATCATTTTTTATCATTTTTTATCAAAATTTAGTGCCACCAAGCAAGGGCTAAATGTATCACATCGATTACCAAATTTTCATTATAGTTAAGTAAACCGTCTTTAACTAGAGAAACTGTCAAAATTTGTGTCAAATAATTACGAGTGTCACAAGACAACATGACGATGTTTTGAACTATAATGAAAAGTTAACGATCAACCTTTTACTGAAATAATAGATTGAGGACTTAGCTGAAATTATCCCTTGATTTAGATAAGAACCAAACTTGACCTTATTTCATAAAAAGTTGGAGAAATTAAAATGCATGTGACAAAATGAATATGTGGTTGCATTAGCATCTCAGTGCGTCTGTATGCCATTTAAAAGGTTACAAACAAATGTGGAGCCATTATAAATTTGGCGTGTTATGGACCATTTTGGCACGTTAATTTGATTGTAGTCCATTCGATTCGATATGATATGATAATTGATCTATTTTATTTTATATCTTTTTTTCGATTTAATTATGATTAATACTGTTTACTTCGTCATATCTTTTTGTGGGTATTGTGTCCAAAAATTGATTATTCAATTCGTACTCATTTCTTCCGCAACAAGGGAGGTAGAGTACTTGTTTCGACTTCATATAGCGCATGCATGTATTGTTAGAA